TATATTATTAGCTTTGGCAAAAAGAAATCTAATAATGCTAGAAAGCTAAATAAATCATATTTATGTATTATTGGTCTTCCAAAGCGGAAAGTACAAAGCTGTACAATGACCTGCCTTTTTCTAACCTGGTTTAGAGCTGACCAAGTCTTACCAAGGACAAGTTCTAAGGCTTCTTTCTCAGTAGAAATTTTCCATGAAGTGATTAAGTCAGTGAGCATGGTTTTATGGGGTGACTGGTAAGTTCTGTGGGTGAGAGCGTTCCTTTAGGGCCCTGGTAGAGAAGTGAGCAGGGCCCTGCGTGTTGGGGGAGGAACTGAGGTTCTGCATATAAATTTCCTGTAGACAAAGACACCATCCTGAAGTTTAAAAACCACTGACAGAAAACTTTCCACTGCCTCCTTTTCTTCATACCTAACTTTGAATAATGGCGTTTACTCGCTCTGAAGTTCTGTAAGTGAAATCCTTTCAGTTATTAAAGAAGAAATTAGGGAAACCCTATTTCCTTAAGAAATAACAAAGCCCATAAACACATCTCTGAATGAGTAATTATATCTGTTGGAAAATAGTAGTAGCAATATCTAGAAAACACTTTTGAAGTCTTCTGTGGTGGTTGGAATATTTGCCATTCATACAGTTGTTGATTGAAGAATTCAGGAAATTGAATTAAAAAAAAAAGCACCATCTGGTTGAGAAGACATACAGACCCACCAAACAAGATTTCTAAAAGGGAAACCATTTTGGAATGTATTTTCCTTTTAGTCTAACCATTTTAGACTGTAATTTCCTTTTTGGTCTTTAATTTTAAAAAATACATATGAGATCTCATAGGTGAGAAAGCTACCTACATGTAATCTAGCTCTTACTATATTTATGGCAGACCGAACAAATACTTAAAACTACTGGCTGAAACTACTCACATATACACCACTGTCTCTTCAGCAATCAATTAGGAAGCTATTAATGCTTATTCTGACATTACTCAAAACGATTTCAAACCAGAATGTCAATGATTTCAGAGTCTGTAGCATGTACTTAGACATGAGAAACGACAATGTAATAACTTCTACAAGATTTGATCCAGCCAGTCCAGGGGTCTTTTAGGTTCATTTTATGAATCAGTCAATAAGTCTTATCATTTGTTTGATCAAAAACTATGAAAGTTTTTAAAGGTCTTATGGCTTGTTTTTCTTATGTGCCTCATAAAATTGGCTTTGGAAACAAATTCCAAAAGAACATTTTAGAAAATGTGTTGACTATTAAAATAGTATCTTCTCTTTCAGTAGAAAAAAAAAAACTCATCTGAACCTATATATTATAATATATTTAGGTAAAATTAGTCTTCCTAATTTGGTAATGTCTTCTTATTAGTAAAAGACAGCTTAAAGGTATAGTTGGCAGTTACTTTTCAAATGTTACATGGGCATAATGACTTTGCAAATTAAAGAATGAGTCATTTCCTAGCAACTTACCACATGTGTACAATAAAGGGAGAGCTTTGAATGCAATACTGATGAAGTCAACTTTTTTTATTTTTTAACTGCTGCTTTTTATGTTATCTATGCCATTCAAAATAATCAAATTATTTTTGGAAAACATTTTACTTTTCAAAATATGCATTATATTTATAGAAATGTTTTCTGTATTGCTACTCTAGAGGCAAAGGGATTTGTAAAAAGAAAAGAGAATTATTTCATTAAATCGATACTTAAATTATAAGGATAAAGGGAAAGAAAAATCTCTGTTCTTCATTCAGCACATTAAATAGTAAAACAGCATGTAATGGTTGATTGAGAAGCAATTTCCATGAGAGCAAATATCCAGGAATAATCTGAACACTGATACTGTTAGATGTGTATTTCTGAATCTAGTCCTAAAATATAGTCATCTCTAGAAGCTTTTGCAACCTCAGGCTCAAACTTTGGGATTTTGTTTTTCTGTACCAGGAATTGTACAGGACTGCTCTGCCACTGAGCTATATCTTCAGCCCTTTCTACTTTTTTATTTTGATACAGGGTCTTGCCAGCTTGCCAAAGTAGGCCTCAATCGTTCAATCCTCCTGCCACAGCTTCTGAAATGGCTGGGAATAAATACAGGCATGAGCCACTGTGCTCGCTTCCTTGGCCTCTTGGTTTACTCAACAGTTGGGTGCACAGAAATTACTCTAGCAGTTTTTGTGTGAAAATTTGAGAGGTCGTTATTTTTTGTTTTCTCAAAGCCCTGTGCTTACCACAATCCTGCCATGCTGTCTTCATCCTTAGTAGTATTTTTCTCCCGTGTTTAGAAACATGTGGACTTGGATAACGACTTCAGCATGTTGGTGTTGGGTCTGATACTTACTTGGGCCAGGCCACACCTTTCAAGCTTTCCAGAAATGAACCTAGAAAGTCAGGATTGTCACAAATAGTAACCTATTTGGTATCCTTCTCTTAAGTACGGCATAAGACAAGTATAATTCTTGGAAACAACCTGGGAGTTTGTGGGTGGTAAAGATAATTAAAAGGACAATGCTAAGGCTGGATGGATTACCTGCATTTCTGTGTCTATCCATCTACCTACCTTTTTTTGTTTTGTTTTGTTTTGTTTTTTTGTGGTACCAGGGCTCGTACTCATAACCTTGAGTTTACCAGGCAAGCACTTGAGCCACTGAGCTAAATCCTTAGCCTTTGCCTACGTATTCTTAGTAGTCTATAGAAATAAGACCCCTGGGATTCACTTAGAGTGAGGAGCGGACATGGTTTTAAACATGTAACTTGCATGGTGCAGTCCCTTGTGTAAACACAGCCTACATGCCGGGATACAGCATAAATGGCACCTGTGCTGGGAGCACCTGTGATCACATATCATTGTGCTCACTGTCCTCGCACTCCCCAGGAACTGAGACACCTGGGCTCTCTGCCTTCCTGGAGAGCAGATGAAATTGCATACCTTGGAAGTTTTTCAGAAAGGAGAGAAACCGTAATGAAAAAGCTAAAAGCGATCCTGAAAGTTAGACCCACGTGTTTTGAAGAGGATAAATGCCAACTGGCACTAAAATGAGCCTGCTACGACTGTCTGGTTTTGTTCCATTGTGCGCTATAGTTCCCTTTCCCATTTGTCATGTAATGTGACATGGATTACACAGATTCTATTTTGGATGTAAATTTACGTTTATAAAAATAACAAATTGATCATAAAGAAGCCTGTACTATTCATTATCTGTTTGTATGCCTCAAACATTCCTGGAACATGAGAAAAGGATTACATGGAGCAAAACAGACTTAAACTGTTTCATTTTTCTAAAAACACTTTTATTCCTTTCTTAAATAGAGGTTATGACTCCCCAATAATTATTTGTAATTAACAGACTAATCTAAATTCATGAAGTCTGTTCTCTTTTAGATTAAATGCTCTTCTAAGATGAATATACACTTCTCAGTTGAAGAAATGCAAACAGCAAATAAATACATGAGAAAATGTTCAACATCATTGGTTATTCAAGAGATGCAAATTAAACCAATACTGAACTTTCCACTTCACCCTGGAAAGAATGGCAATTATCAAGAAAGCAATCAATAACAAATGCTGGAGAGGCTGTGGGGAAAAAGGAACCCTTCTTCACCATACATGGGAATGCAGACTGGTGCAACCACTATGGAAATCAGTGTAGAGATTCCTCAAAAAACTAGCATTGGAGGTCCCATTCAACCCAGATATTTCCCTTCTGGGTATCTTCCCAAAAGAATTAAAAACATCATATCATAGTGATACATGTGCACCCATGTTTATAGCAGAACAGTTTATAATAACCAGATCTTGGAAACAACCTAAATGCCTATCAACTGAGGAATGAATAAAAAAGATGTGGTGGTTTTATACAGTGGAGTACTACTCAGCCATAAAAAGGATAAACTGGAGACTTTTATAGGTAAATGGATGTAACTTGAGATCATACTCATTAGTGAAATAAGTAAGACACGTGTGTAAACATCTCGTATTGTTTCATTAGTGTGCCAAGCTGAAAGAAAAAATATATGTGTATGTATATTTATATAAAAAACAGTTACTGATTTCTCTGAGTTTGCTGAAGAGAAAGATTTGTGCTGGTATTGTTCTGACAATTGAGTGCAGGTCTCTTGTACTCTGGGTGAATGATTTGAGGACGACAGTGCACAATGTATGTACCATTGTTGCCCCCAGATTGATGTTTTGAAATTTTTTTGTACTTGTATTTTTATTCTTCTTTTTTCTTTGTTTTTAATCCTTGAATAAAATGGATTTTTAAAAAAAATTCAATGTCCTGGCAAGTGGTAAACATTTTTGCATTTTATGATGTTGTATATTCTAGGGGTGGGGGAAATGAGATATGTTTAAAGTTGAAAGTTAATTATTATTCTAAAGCAAACATATATATTATAATCTCATTTTGCTAAAAGCTGTACCTCAATCCAGTGAAATATCAGTAATTGGAAGACATGGCAGACTGAATTATTCAGTTGCGCTTTTTAAAAATAGTTAATATGTATCTAAAACAACCCTAAATTACTTTGGTAAATTCAGACTCTGACAGAATATTTTCTTGTTGTATTGTCATTTGTCACCAGTTTGTGATTTTGTGCTAAATTATAAACATCAGAGGGTAAACATGTCTCTTTTCAATGTCAGGAACATTAGAGGAATAGACAAAACACTTTATCCCCCATCATTCTCTTTGGATGATTCAGAGTAGAAATTTCCATACTAGGGATTAAATTTAAGATTTTCTACAATGTTTGTTTGTTTGTTGTCCCAGAGTCTCACTATATAGTTCAGGCACTCTTCCTACATCAGCCTCCTGAGTGCTGGGATTGTACCCACCACACCCAGCTACCACAATTTAATATCTACTTTTAACCAGCACTTGCATTGCACTGTCTTCTGATCATGGGCACTTAAGAACTTTAGGTTCATTGCCGTATATATTCCTATTTTAGATCATGTATGTATCAACCCATTTTCACAGAAATGCGTACTTTCTCATGTAGGGTTACCAGGGTATGGTGGATGGAGGTGCCAACATCGTGGAAGCAGACTGGGAGAGTGTCTCAAGCATCCTACAAGTGGTGAGTAACCATGTTACTGTTTGTTTGTTTCTGTATGTAAATAACTGGCTCCATTTGAAACCATTTACACTCTTGCTTCAGTAACAAAGCAAAATAATGGGCCAATGGACCTATTCTTACCTACTTCCTGGAAAGAAAACATCCCTATTTTGTCATTTAAGTACATTTTAAAAATAAAACTAAAAAGCTCTACATAGCAGAAAGTATCCTTGCAGCATAAAGTTGTGTGTCACAACTGTGGTACTTCTGGAGAATGTTGTGGTTTTTGAGACCAGACCAAAGTTGGGGCTTCTTTGGTTTGTTAGTGCTGTGTTCAGTGGCAAATCTCTGTGCTCTCTGGGCTTTTGCATGTCCCTTGGCATCCATTGTAATAAAGCTGTGCATGATTCTGCCTGGCAGCCCTTGAGGACTGTAGATTTAATGCAGGGACACTCCTCCCTGTTTTGGGCTGAATCAGACAGGGATCATTTCTGGATGTGTGTAGCGATGAAGTCATTGCCACTGCAGGCCAAACCCATTGCTTGCTTTGAATTTAAAAGGAACCTGCCCCAGAATTGCATGCCTCTTATCATTCTGAACATTGGCTGAGTAAGGTCTCCAAATCAGATGAGAAATAAAGAGATTACGTGGAAAGAATAGACTTCATGAAGATCTCTTTATTTGTGATTTGCTCTCTTAAAATGTAATGATTAATCTGTGCCTCATTTTGAATATTTTTTAATAGAAGCCAAATTGGCACATTCACTCTAAAGATAGCCATGGGTTGTATGTTTTGACACAGACTAAGTCTGCATTGGAACCTTTTTGAATTCTGCTAGACCTTGAAATGAGTGAAGTAAATTCTGACAACTACTGGTCATTAGATAAAACAATTTTTACAACACTTGAAGACAGTAGCAGCTTAATTCCACTCAGAAGAATATTTCCATTCTGCTATCATAGTTGAGACAGGAAATGTGCATATAATTGAAGGGTGTGTGTGTGAACACTGCCTGCTTCTTGTAATTCAGTTGTTCATGGTTTCATTTCTGAAACTCTATCCTTTCTTATCTCTTTAATATTGGCGCTGGTAGGTTTCAACTTTACATACAGCTGTAACAAGTCGCATGACCTTCATACTACCTTTTATCAAATCAAAGTACGGAGAATAAGCTTATCTTTGCTCTGCATTTGCCATCCCAGACGTGCCTGTGTGGAGCCAAATTCTTTGCTGTCCCAGTCACACTTTGTACAGTAGCATTAGAATCACCACTGGGGCTGAGCTAGTGAAATTACTGCCCAATGAATTTTCAACTTTAGTGGTAATTTTTTATTAAGGTTTTACCAGTTAAGTGGTGACTTTCATGGGAAAAAAAAACATGTGTTTTTACAGTCTGAAATAAGTCTTCATAAATCAGAGTGAGTCATGCACATGTCTACATGAGTACTCTTGATATGTCCACATGAATACTAGCACCTACATAAGCACAAGGGCCTTTCAGTGAACTCTCCCCCTAGAGGTCTATGTCCAGCACGGAAACCAATTCTGCTCATGACAAGTTTGCTTTGTGAAGCAAATGCACATTTAATGGATTGAGTCTAAGATGGACTTTTATCACTCATTCATAATTGATTCAAAGCGGTTTTTAATTTTTCTAATTACCACAAACCAACCATTTATCACTGGAAATTGAACCCAGTGCCTTTGCACTGAGCCATACTCCCAGTCCACTTTATTTTATTTTATGACAGGTTCTCAAGAAAGTATCCAAACTCACACACTCCTGATCAGGAGAATTACAGACATATGGGAGCGTGTCCAGCCCAACCTTAGTTTTTGAAAAACTAAGTATAAAATGTCATGATCCTCCTGTGGAAGTTTGGTAGATCAAAGCTAAGCCTTTAAAAAGGCTAGGGTACATGTGGCAGCTTGTACCTACTACAGGCCCTTGTGCAGACTACAGCTTATACGGCAGGACACAACATAAATAGCACTTTTGCTGAGAACTTACATCAGACTTCACTTACGTTTACTGTCCTGCTTTGGGAGCAACCGCACCTGGGCTCTACCCTATAAGTGAAATTGGGGGAAGTGTATACCTTTCAAATGCCTTTGGTTCACTAATTCCCATTTGTTTTAATATTTTGCTTGAACATGTGTGTAACAGATCTTTGGTCACTAGGAAGCTGCTAAACAAGCAGCTTCTCAAGTAACAGCTGATGACAAGTGGCGATAACACATCTTTTGCTCAATATGTACTTATTTGCACCATTTGGTGTTGGGACAGCTTCAGTTCAAACTGGCTAGAAGACTACTGTGCCCTTGCAGACTCTGAGCCTCTGCATATTTGGTAGATGGCTACCAGTTTTCTTTTCTTTTTTTTCCACATTTCTTTATTATTTACACTCCTGGACAGGGCATAAGTGTCATTCTTCGTAGGAAAGCACAGACTGTCACAGTGGGCTAACTGAAGATATGGAAACAAGGAGAACTTGAATTGAAAGTCCTGTGTTAAAGGTCAACCTGTGCATGTGCTGATCCATCTGGCTTTCTGTCCAGTGAGAAGGAAGTCAGTAAATGTGATTTTATGCCTTTTCCAGGGTGGGACAATTATTGGCAGCGCTCGCTGCAAAGCCTTCCGCAGCCGGGAAGGTCGCTTGAAAGCTGCTCTTAACCTGGTTCAGCTGGGCATCACCAACGTGTGTGTGATCGGTGGGGATGGCAGCCTCACCGGAGCCAACATCTTCCGGGAGGAGTGGAGTGGACTGCTGGAGGAATTGGCCCAGAACGGTATGACCCTGTTTTCACCTCTGTCCTGCCTTTCTCTAGATTTTGTTTCCCTCGCCTTCAGAGACTTGTAGAACTCACACATTTTGCCTTTTTAGAAAAGTTTTATTTATGATTGACATATAATAATTGTACATATCTGTGGGTCATTTTGCCTTTTAACTTGAGCCAATAGTAGTTTTTGTTGTAGGTCTAATAGTTTATCACCTCAAGATCTAAATGTGTACTTCGATTAATAACAATAGTGATGATAGTAAATATTATTTACCATGGACTAGGCACCATTCAGCATTTTACATAGGTGGTCCTAAAGAATCCTCATGACAGTCTGAGATAGGTTTTCTTGTTTAGCCTCATTTTACAGATACGGAATCAAAGGTCTTGTGGGAAACAAACATAACTGGCTATGACCTGGGTCCAACTGAGCCCTTGGACACCCACATCTACACTTTGAGGCATCCAACTCTGCTGGGATCTCTTTAAACTAAGTTATTATAATTTAATTTACACTTTAATGATGTTTTCACTGTGTCATGGTTTATCAGGACTATTGAGATGCTATTCAGGACTTCTGAGAACCCTGTATATACTGTAGCCTCTAATCTCTTAGAACTGTTATGATACAATTCCAGTGTACTATAAAGTACAGCCAGTGAGAGTGTATAGCACAAACTAATAGCAATTTCATGAAAAATGAAAACTTGAAACCAAGCAAGTGGCCTCAAGTTCTTTAAAAATCAATTTAGGGAATGGAGATTAGCACCAAGAACTTCTCAGTATCTTCTTAGCCACCTTGTCCGATCTGTTGCTGGCCTATTGGTAGCACAGGGGCAACCAGAGCCCCTTTGACCATTCTAATTCCATTTATACAGAATTACCTGACCCAGGTGAAAGTTAGGTAGAGACCTGACTAGCTCCCTAAGGACCTGTAAGAAATTAACATGAAGATAACATAAAGTGCTTAATTCTGAAATTCTGCTGTAGCCTAATTCAGAGTCGTGTCATTCTCTGAAGTCAGTGATAGCTAAACTTGAGATCTTCATCTACCAGTTACAACATGTGGATCCTTTTATTTTTATACTGCAGTGTTTTTGCTAATGCCAAATGATAACTCTTGTTTTCTATAATTACTTCGACTTTTGGCTTTTCTTAAGTATACAGATTCAGATTGTATATAGCTCTGAAGAAATAATAGAAAAAAGACTTAAAATTCAGTTCTTTTCCCATGGTGTACCTAAAGAATTAGCAACTCTTATTGATTATGAGGCATGTTGCTTGTTCCCAATGCAGGTAAGATCAGTGAAGAAGCCATGAAGAAGCATGGTTATCTCAACGTGGTGGGTATGGTGGGCTCCATAGACAACGACTTCTGTGGCACAGACATGACCATTGGCACAGACTCAGCTTTGCACAGAATCATTGAAGTCATTGATGCCATCATGACCACTGCCCAGAGGTAAAAGGACTTAAAGGAGACATTAGAAGTCAACTTATAGGCATGTGATAAGCTGTGGTGTAGCAATTAGTGGTGATTCTAGAATGTTCTGCAGAGGGGCATACTGGTGAAATTTCACAACTTGAGTGTTAGAAACAAGTACCAGAAAATGGTTCTCCAGTTTACTTTTCATTTTAAATTTTTAAATGTTGCTCTTTTTTTAACCTGATTACAAAAGAAAAATGCATTCATATGAGAGAAATTAGAAAACAAGAAAAAAGAATTTCTAAAGTCATGCCCTGAAGTTTCCTGAAGAAATAACGAAAGGTAAAATAACAGAGTTTTGCCACACTGCTTAAAAAGAAGCAAGGCAGAATTTTGTTACTGCTGGGTTTCCAACCTTTGACTGACACAAGTGTGGGCAGAGTAACAATAGGTTATCCCAGGCCATATGACTCATGAACAGAGTATTACTAATGAGTCTTTCTGGGACACCTTAGAATTTCTGAAGCACTTCAAAAATAATGTGAAATAATAAATAGTACAAGTGTCTCCTACTTTATGGATGAGGAGCTTGATACTTGAAACCACCCAGACAGCCAGACCTCCTGAGTCTTCTCTGTGTGTCTGTCCGATTCACACCATGTCAGCCCATGGGCAGCCATTGGAAAACCACATCTTCTCTTCAGGGTTGGAAGAATTGATTGGAGCAGCTGGATTTTTCCATTATATGAAAAGTCCCCAGTCATCAGGTGTTAACACTCATGTTTATACATGGGATATTGGATGTGATGGGAAATTTTGGTGAATGTTTAATTTTTTGCTTTTAATTACAGTAAAAGACACATGGCCATTAATCCCCTTCATAATACTACCCCTGACTTCCTGCTGCTTTAGAAGTTCTCTTTCCTGGGTATCTTCATTTGTGCTATCTTAGGTACCTCAATGTCCTGAACTGATTTAAAATGTTACTTTGCTTGATCATTTTGACTTTGGAGAAGAGCCAGAAGTTAAATGGTGGCAGATCCAGAAAATAAGGTTGATGAAGACACGTCTTTTTTTTTTTTTTTTTTTTTTTTTTTGGTAAGCCTGCCCTTGTATCAGATGGCACTTGGCATTGGTGTTCACCATTTTTTACCACACTTCACAAAGATAGTCAGGGCAGAGGACTTACAGAACTGCTTCAGCAAGTGGCAAAATGATGGGCTAAATAAGTTCAAAGCTGAGGGGTGTACTTTTCAGGAGAATTAATGACAAGTGTCTTTTGTTGTGATCGGAAAGAGCATAAGAAAGTATGCTAGAAGTACAAGTCAGTCTTAGGGCACAAGTAATAGCCTGTCGTAAAATATGTAGAGATAAAATAAGTAGAAAGTGTAGTTGCTGCTAAAGCTGTTACAAGTCTGAAACACTATTGCAGCAGCATTTGTTTCTGTAGAAAATGAGTCATTTTCTGAAGCTTAGGTACCTACTATAATTACAAATCAGGCGTTCTGTCTCACTGGCTGTAAGAACACTTTTCTGTTTGCTTTCCATGCTGTTTCCAGGAGTGGTGAATGAATGTGCCCTTTGTCTCTTTTCCAGCCACCAGAGGACCTTTGTCCTGGAGGTGATGGGCAGACACTGTGGGTATGTACCTGAATGTACCTACATGCACAACGTGGGTGAAACAGACCCTTCTTGTCATCTCTTTGGTCACCTCCTGTGGTGTGGAAGCTCCTATGGGAGTTCACAAAGAAACCAGCACCATCTGATCCATATTCCATGTTATACATGCCTGAGTTTGTCAGTGAGCCGAGGTGACCTCAGTTGCCTTGCAAGAAGTTTCCTGCTCAGGGCATTGATCCATCATCTTTTCCATGTAGGTACTTGGCCTTGGTGAGTGCCTTGGCCTGCGGCGCAGACTGGGTTTTCCTCCCGGAGTCTCCACCGGAAGAAGGCTGGGAGGAGAACATGTGCATCAAACTCTCAGAGGTAACTAGGAGCCCTAACTGCTTTAGGCATTGCCAGTCTGGACAGCCTTTCAGAAGAGTGAAAGCCTGCTTATTTAAAATAGAGTCAAACCTTTGGGAGGGGGTCTCTTTAAAGGCTGTACACATGTCTTTCTCTTCCTAAAACTTCAGAGTAACGCCAGGAAGAAACAGCCAAGATTTTGTTTTCATACAAAACAGTCAGTTCTGATTTCAAGTGGAGTAGGTTCCATGAGTTCACAGCTATTAAGGGAAATGAGATTCAGAGAGAAAATGTGTTTGCTGTTCTTCCTCCACATCCTTGAGTACGAGCACAGTTTTAAGTCCCCCAGAAGACTTGGAGTTAGATGTTTTGACGTTTCTTTCAGCTCTGAGGTCTCCAGTGTGTAGGACTGCAGGTCTGTCTGTTTGCTAATTATTTTGAGCTTGGCTTTTTCCTTCCTGTCTGGAGTTTGTTGCACATTTGTCTTTCATGCTGTGTCTGTTGACATAGGGAAAATGTCCCTCTCTAAAGGCCAAGTACATTTTAAGAAACTAAGAAAGCACTGGGTATGTAGCTCAGTGAAAAGCCTTTGAGTTCAATCCTGAGTATTACAAAAAAAGGAAAAAAGAAAAAAACACTGAAAATGCCAGTTTGTGATGCTGCTGCCAAACCAATATAAACCACATTGAGATAGCTCACCTCACCCTGGCTTCTGTGGGTCAATCTTCAGTCAGCTACTGCTCACACTTTATATGAGAAAGTGTTTAATTTGAATTTTATAGAAAGCAAATCCATTGAGAAGACATTAATCCACATCCAGAGTAGTTCTGTCAGCATGACAAATACCTGAGATAAGTCAGCTTTTTTTTTTTTAACTTTTTATCAGTACTGGGGATCGAACTCACAACCGTCTGCTTGCAAGGCAGGTGCTTATGCCACTGAGCTAAATCCCCAGCCCTGATAAGTCAGCTTTAAGGAGGAAAAGTTTACTTTGTTTCTGTTTCTTTATCAGTAAAGTACATCACAGTCCAAAAGGTTTATTTTGATTTATGGTTTCAGAGGTTTTAGTCCATGGTTAGCTGGATCCTGTGGCAGCACAGTACATCATGGTGGGAGGGTGCAGCAGAGGACTTCCGCTCACCTCACAGTGGCCAGAAAGAGAGAGAGAGGTCAGAATCCCAACATCTCTATCAAAGCAGTGCTCTTGATTACCTAATTTCCTTCTACTAGACTCTACCTCTGCCAAGCCAGGTCAGCTGCAGTGGTGCATGCCTGTAATCACAGTGCACTGGAAAGCTCAGGCATCAGGATCACAAATTCAAGCCCAACCTTGGCCATTTAGCAACTTATCAAGAGTCTAAAATAAAAAAGGCTGGGGATGCAGTTCAGTGCAGAGGCCCTGAACCTCCAAAAAAACAAAAAAGCACCTCCTAGTAGTGCCATGGGCTAGGGGTCAAACCTTCAGCACATGGTTCTTTGGGGGACATTCCAGACCCAAATGTAGCAGTATCTTTTCCACTTTCTTACCTGTCTACTTCTTGTGCCTGAGCCCAATATTATCCAATCATAATGGCAGAGAATTCTTGGCCTCATATGAGGATTCATGGAGAGATGAAAGGAACCTCTGGAATAAAGGTGACAGAAAGCTTGGTTTTCTAGGAAATTGTGTGTGTGTGTGTGTGTGTGTGTGTGTGTGTGTGTGTGCGCGCGCGCGCACGTGCGCACGCTCCCATGCACCTGAGTGTGTGGGAAGAGGATTGTTGTCTAGCCTGTATTCCTTCCTGTGGTAGGATTCAACAAATCAACACCACCCATCATAGGGCTCATCAGAGACTAAATTCTCTGTTATTTGTTAATATCGCTCAAGTCCCCAGGGACCTCTCTCCATTGTTGTACTCCTCAGTCCTCTGTGCCCTGGCCCATGATGTCCTTACCTCCCCTGGTGTTTCTAGGAAGCAGTCCTTGCAAAATGAGGGAAAGATTTCTGCCTGGAAAGAGGCCAGTTCAACAAATTAAGAATGTGAGGGTTTTAATTTTCTGTTTCCTTAGAATCGTGCCCGGAAAAAAAGGCTAAATATTATCATTGTGTCCGAAGGAGCAATTGATACCCAAAATAAACCTATTACCTCTGAAAAAATCAAGGAGGTAAGTAAATATTGTTTCTTCCTGTTAGCATGGTTGACAGGATTTCAATTTAGAACATTGCAGGGTGTTAATTTTTTCTTCTTCCTGATACTAACACAAAATACTTTCAGAGTGGTTCATAACTGGAATGTCCTGGTGGACACACAACTCCCCTACTCCAGAGAGTCAGCACTTCTTGCATTCTCTGTTAGGACATTTCTCAAGACTCTCTGAGTCCCACAATAGGCGTAGAGGAGAAAAGGTAGAAGGGCAGTCGTGTTCTTGGTGGTAGAGATTCCAGCTCTGAAACAATCCCTTTTGCGAAGGAAATGAGGACTGACCACCTGCCAGCTCTGTGATAGTAGAAAAAAATAGTATCCTCTTATTCCCCTTTCTTCTCAGAGCAAAAGCTGGGCACAGTCTCAGCAAAAAAGCTACCTCATGGCCTGTGAGTCACTGCTGCCTTGTGGCGCTGAGGAAGGACAGAGTCTGACAGGCTGTTACCATGGAGCTCGCTCAGACTGGGGCTCACCTGTCTCAACAGGGCTGTGACATATCAGCCAGAGTTCAGTGTTGTAGGCAAGGCACTGGGTGTAGCCAGGCTCTGGTCGACCTGCAGCTCAGGCAGCAGGCATTGCCAACCTGGCTTTACACACTGATTTCTTTATCACGCCTAGCAGTAGTTAATTAATGAGCCAGACATATGTCTTATGGATTCCAGTATAGTACCAGCTGTGTACCTCAGGTTTAAGTCATTGACAGAGACCTGTGAGAGCCACTGCCTATATTTACAGGAAGTGATTGATAAAATCAGGAAGAAGATTTTCTTTCTCACGTAACTGAAATAGAGATTAAATCATAGAACATTGGATCAAGAAGGGACCATGGACTCAAAATAGCCAGCATCACTGTTTGTAGAGAGGAGTGAACAGATCTAGCGAAGTTTGGTGGCTCCTGCAAGTCACAGGCTGGCTTTCCTGTGGGCATAGGACTGATTTTCCTTAGTTGGATTGTGCAGTTCAAATCACAGTTGTCCAAATTAAGGTGATACTAGGGAAATGCTTACATTTTCATGCATATAGATATTTTATATACAAGCTACTAAAACAGCATGTTTTAGAAAATCAATATTACTTTTTTTTGAGAATTGAGAGATGAAGATTTTGTTTTACAATAAAAGAATTATTTTAAAAATATTTGTTCCACTGATCATCCTTTTAGGGAGCCAAGTTTAGAAATGATCATTTGTGCCACTCAGGTGTAAAGGAAGAATATGAGAAATATTTGCTCAGTGCCAGTGCCAAATCTGTGTTGATGTGTCACTTTGCTGTGTAATGGTCTGAATTCCTGATGAAAATTTTTCTGTGCAGCTTGTGGTATCACAGCTGGGATATGACACTCGAGTGACAATTCTTGGACATGTGCAAAGAGGAGGGACCCCTTCAGCATTTGACAGGATTTTGGTAAGTGAGGATGGAAGATGCCAGATATTTCCACAAGGTGTCTGGGGAAGAAATAGTTCTAGACACTGAAAGGAATCAGTTTATCATAAAAGCTTACTGGTAGACTCCTCCCTGGGTTGTAGTGACTCTTGTCTTATTTGAAAGATCCTTTGCGATTTGCTGGCATAAAGTGACTTCCCAGCCTAGGGTGGGAGGCCCTCATGACACTGGAGATCTCAGCTAACATGGGAAGTCTACTGTGAGGACAACACCAGGAGACTAAATCCAGGGGTAGAAAGCAGTGTTCCAGACCAAACCAAGGGGACGATTGGAGTCCTGAGCCCAAACCCTCAATTCTTAGTATTCCTTGCCCACTACTCATCACTAATCCCCATCCCTTCCATAGCTTGCTGATCTTACTGGAATCACAATCTCTTCATTCCAGAGGGGTGGCCTGGAGCTAAGTGGGAAGGGTGATAAGTGCTCTGTTGAGCCCACATTCCACACATGGAAAGTGGGTCCTGGCGTGGTCCTCAGGGGTCGTGGGTGGCAGTGCCTCATCTGGAACAGGATAGTGGGCCATCTTTGACTGTCACGATGTCATTTCCAGGCTAGTCGCATGGGGGTGGAAGCAGTCATCGCCTTGCTAGAGGCCACTCCTGAGATCCCTGCCTGTGTTGTGTCACTGAACGGAAACCACGCTGTGCGCCTGCCCCTGATGGAGTGTGTACAGATGGTGAGTGAGGGGTGGTGTGGACACAGACACATGCTACCAGTCAGGCCAGGTGGGTGGCTCGAGCTGTCCAGTCTACAGCCTGTTGGGTGCTCACCAGCCTAAATGGCTTCTTCAAGAACGTGATGAGCTACCCAGGGAGTGATGGCTGCAGGTTTCCTATTTTCACTGCACAGTGCATAACTCACTTTGGTTTTGTTTTTTGTGTTTTGTTGTTGTTGTTTTGTTTTGTTTTGTTTTTAGGTTCCAGGAATCAAACTTAGGACCTCACACTTGCCAGGCAGGTGCCGCACCACTGAGCTATATCCCCAGCCCTGCACAGTGTATAAACCCATACTGTCTCTACTTTCTTATTTTCTAAGCTACCATCCATGGGGCACTTCTTATTAGTCACTTCCCTGGGGGTGAATCTAGTCCACCAGAAATGCGTATTCTTTGAGAACTCTTTTGACTGACTCTGTCAACAGTCAAAAAGGTTCCAGGGGGCTTGTGGACACCCATGCTCCAGGGTTCAGAAAGTGCAAGAAAATGCCCTGGCTGAAGTGTGTAATGTGACATTTCATAGAAGGTGTGACATGGCTTTTTTTCCAGTTTTAGTCACTTCTGTCCTTTTGTGCTCAAGGTTATTCAAATCTGTGATGAGACATTGACATGGTTTCCACTGACATTCTGAGATGAGCCCACCTCCTTCAGGCTCAGAAGTGCTTGCAAGTGGTTGAAAGAAACATGAGTTAAAATTTTCCAATCATCAGTAAATGAAGTGGCAGTAGAGTTAGTTCCATTTGAAATGGCCATTGCCTTTTCTTTTTCCAAAGCTTAGTCATGACCGTTGCTTTATTTTTCCAGTAACCTTGAGGTGTGTTTCTTTTATAATATGCATTTATAGAGAGAGAAGTTGACAAGTAATTAAAAGGGCTTGCCAAAAATAACCTTAAAAACCCAATAGTTGTGGAGAAAGTTTGTGTGCATGTATGTTTATGTGGGTGTGTTCCCATTTGTGGGTACAGTGTGTGTGGTATGTGTCTGTGTCTCTGCATTGCGTGAATATCCTTGGGGACAGGTGAATAAGAAGTAGCTGAAAATGTGAAGGATGACAGGCCTAAAAGGATCACAGCCCTGAGCTATGTGCACATTTCTTAAGAGTGTCTTGTGTCTAGTTACAAGTTTGGTGGCTGTAACTTAGCTTCTTCTTCAAGCCATCACATAAGGGTTTTGTTATTAAAAGTTATAGTGAGCCATTTGGTGAGCATCTGCAGAGTGTCATTTACTAAAGGTCTGATCTTTTTTAATAATCAGAGACAATCCTGGAAGTAGGGCTATTTTCTTTATCCTACAGATGAGGAAACTGAAGTTTAGGGCAACAGGAAACTTGCCCAAGATCCTAAGGTTGGCTGGAGCTGACTGGCGTGTGTGTGTTTGTCCTGAGCCCTGTCTTGAGATAGCCCTGGCCCCTCTGCTGCCCTCAGTCCGCTGTAACCACATTTAGATCCTACAGCCCCTATGAGTCCACCCATAGGCTGTGTTTTTCTCAGAATTTTTTAGAACCTTCCCTGAGAGAGCCCTGTCCAATAGTTTTGTCCTTGTGAGGGAAAATGCTGGCAATTTCACAGCCGTAGATAGCCAGTGCCACCTTTCTCCTCCTTTTTACCTGGAAGTAGCTTGAGCTGGGTGAACCCCAGGGGCATCAGCCTCACAGCTGAAACTGACAGCTGGCATCCAAGTTCCAGGTGTGGTGGAACCTAGAACTTCCCCAGACAGTACAACCTTGGGGCAGCTGGCAAGGTTGTACTGTGAAGAGGTCCAGCCACAGAGGTCTGAGCGTTTCCCCACCTGCAGACATACTAACCCTTGACACAATCTTTCTTCCTTTCTTTTTTAAAAGACCCAAGATGTACAAAAGGCAATGGATGAGGGAAGATTTAAGGATGCTGTGAAACTCCGAGGGAGGTGAGTTACTTTAAAGAAAACCTTATTTCATCAGGAACTTCTCCTCCGCAGGTCTGGTCATCTAGAATATGGTTAGAGGGTATTATTTATTATATCTCAATATAAAAATGTGTGAAGCAAGTAAAGTAATACACAAGGCACTTTTTTTGTAGGGTGAATGCGTAGATGGCTAGAAAGAAATTCTTTTGTCTATTTGACCTTTTGTGAGGGGCAGGGTGATGGTTGCCCAGAACCCAATGAAATTAAGATACAAGGTGACACAATGCCACCATTTTGAAAAGAAATTTGAGAAGAAATGAGAATGGCACTTTTCCTTAGTCTGTTTCTAAACTAAAAATAGCATGCTGAGTCCTCGGCAAGGGCCCTGCAGGTTGTGGGTGGTGGTAGGGCCTCTGTCTTCCCCAGTAGTGAGAGGACTGACTGAGGGTCCGTACAGCATCTGCCATGGATAACACTGTTGTTTGTCCCCACCCCAGGCTCCCTCCCATGGTTTTCCCTTTGACCCAACAACTTCCTTGTCTTTCAGGAGCTTTGAAGGCAACTTGAGGACCTACAAGCGACTTGCCATCAAGCTGCCTGATGATCAAATCACAAAGGTAGGTGGCCAGCTCCCATGGAGCCCCTGTCCTCCTGTGGCCTCAGTGCCCTCCTGCCTTCCTTGATGCTGATCCCAGCTCAAGCACTGGCTCCTGGAGGAAGACTGTCCTTGACCTTTCCATCCTAACCTTTTTCCTACTGTAGAGTTCATTTTCTTTCTGAGCAGCAAATGGGAGCTCGCACACACCTGGTGACCTGGGCCTGCTTTTCCTGTTTTCAGACCAACTGCAATGTGGCTGTCATCAACGTGGGAGCGCCCGCCGCTGGCATGAATGCGGCCGTGCGCTCTGCCGTGCGTGTGGGCATCGCCGAGGGCCACAAGATGTTTGCAATCTATGATGGCTTTGATGGCTTCGCCAAAGGCCACGTGAGTCTTCCCAGGTGGTCCTAGGCAAGTGGGAATGTCACTGCATGTGAAGAGACAAGCCCTCACTGCACCCCAAGCTCCTTCCAACACTTATAATCCTGGGTTCTGTGCCATGGTACCTATAAAGATTGCCTACTTTAAAAATAACTTCTGTTTTAAGACCTTGCTATAAGTTAGATTCTCAGCCTTCAAATTAAATGCAGCCTGAAATGTATTTTCAAGTTTTCTCAAAAGACACTGTGGGAGAGTGGTATGTGACAGTTGCCCCTTCATAGGCTGTCAGGTTTGTATGAAGCACTATTGGCAAAGTACATGGTTAGTTTTCCACTTCACATCTTGAATCACTCAGCATTGCTGGAAGAAACACAGCTTGGTAGTGAGTCACACTTCTTTATGGAAATAACCTATTGAAAGACAAGTCTGAGCCATTTTTTTTATTAGTACATATTTGTAGTGCATAATGAGTATATTAATCATGGAGACTTGGCACAGGTACATTATGTCTTAATTCTTTTTATTTCTCCTTTCTGAGCTGTTTTTGAAACTTTGTGATTTCTCTTTTTCTTCTCACTTTATCTGTTTTATTCTATGTCTGCCATTAGATCAAAGAAATTGGCTGGACAGATGTTGGAGGTTGGACTGGCCAAGGAGGGTCCATTCTTGGGACAAAACGGTAATTTCAAAGTATTAACTCTCTGACTTCCTCCTAAGGAAGAAAAAAGGGGCTTATTCCAGAAGAGAACAGCTGGATATTGATACTTCTCCTAATTTACTAGAAAAGGTTCCTAAAGGGAGAGGTACAGGCGTGTGATACTCATTCTTTACCCCAGGAACTTGATCATATTTTAGGCCACTGGGGATGATTATCAGAGCATGGAGAAGTGGGGATGTAACTTGTGTTAGTCACTTTCCCATCCCTGGAACACAATACCTGACAAGGGAGGAGAGGTTTATTGGTTCATAATTTCCTGTGGGTTCAGTCCAAAGCTGGCTGGCTCCAAGACAGAAACACATGGAGGAACAGCATGGGGGAAGAAAGCTGCTCATTCCATGGCACCCAGGAAACAATACCCCTGCAGTTCATACCCCCAAGGGACTCACACCCGAGATTCCAACCAGGTCCCATCTCCCAACAACACCAGCTGCAAAATTCAGCAGTGGATGAGTCTTCCGATGAGCATAGCACTCCGTGATCCAATCACCTTCCAAACATGTGAGACTTTGGGGGGACATTTTAGATCAAAACCATAACACTTTTGGACATTTTTCTCTAATAATTCCTTACTTTGATTTTTTTTGAAGAGCAATCTGGTATCCAGAAAGCCTCTCTCTGATGTAGGTCATAAATGAGTGATGATACTGAGCCTCAGTTACCAAGCTATGTAAACAGGTGCTGAAGTTCTGCTGAAGGAGGCTCCTCCTGTTGGTGGGAACCACAGAACTGAGCTGCATGGTGACATGCATGGGGAGGCTAAGATTTACACAGCTGAGGAAATGCTCTGAGTAAACTCTAATATCAAGATACATTATAATAAGTTTCAGTGTTCCCATGAAGCTGAGGTTAGGATATTTTCACAAGGTGCAATATTTAATACTAAATTTAAGTCTTACAAGCGCCTGCCTGGTAATCACAAGGTCGTGAGTTGGATCCCCAGTATCCAAAAAAAAAAAAGAAAACAACCTAAGTCTTTTTCATCACTGATTATCTCAAGGGTACAACTGTTAATACCAGTCAGTTATCATAGTTCACATTTTAATCTGGAAGAAAGGAATGTTTAGGTAAATCTAAAAAAATATATATTGGGTTCCATATAACCGTGGTATACTAGTCCCTGGAAATCAAATCAGTCCTTTGTGCTGCTTTTAAAACAGGATCTCAGTAGCACCTAGCTAAGAGTGAGAATTCCACAGGCTGGGGTAGATCTCCAAAGCTGTGCCATGGTGTTGGGCCTCTGGATGACAAAGCTTTAATTAGAAGTAGATGTATCTATAAATATGCATCCCAGACTTCTACAAACTGGCCACAAACAGCAAATGTAGGGGTTTTGCAGATTGCTCTTGAGTAGTTAGAAGGAACAAGTTGGCAGTGTTGGGCATACTCTGAAGAAGCTTGAAAAACTGCACCAGAAGACGTGAGGGATTTTGCAGGTGGCTATGTCCACTTGTCTGCTCTAATTTGCAGTGCTTACATACTTTCACCCTAAAACTTCTTACAAAAATAAAAGCACTTTATTTTCTCCAGTAAGCATAAGAGATTAGGAATAGTAGCTGTTGGATGGAATTTTTGGAATGGGGCATAACCAAATATCATTTACCTAACACTGCACTTCTTGATCATGTCATTTAATATAAGTGACAACACAGGAGAGGAATAGCAAGTATAGGTGGGTGTGGTTTTAAATGAAATTATATTGAATAATAAATATATAAAACTTATTTGGAAGCTGTATATTTCCATTTAAACAATTACTGATAGTGATCATAAGCTACGGTTAATTATTTTTCTCATAAGACAGTAGAATTCTTTTTAGTTAGACCAATTAACTGAAACAATTCTCACTTACCTTTTTGACATGATTGCTGACCACTGCTGCTTTGTGAAAGCAGCAAGCACTCACTGCCCAAGTTGCCATGTGCCTACCACGATGGCATAAAGGAAGCAGCCCCTTAGTACCAAAGAGTTTTGGCCAGGGACAGGAGATGGGAGCAGAAGGCTGGGGAACAGAGTGGTCTTCAAAGGGATGACCAGCATGATGCACATCACGGTATGTGTAAAGCTTGTGAAAATTTCTGACCTCTCCTCCTGATTTGTTTTTTAGCACCCTACCTGGAAAGTACTTGGAGCAGATCGCTGAACAGATACGTGTCCATAACATCAATGCCCTGTTGATCATTGGTGGATTTGAGGTACAATATTGTTTTAGTTTTGAGAACTGATTGATAACTCTGGGTTGGCTTCACACAAGTTGATTGTTGATACAGGAACAAGAATTATAGATTCCTGAGCCTATCACTGGCTAGTTGTCCTGCAACTAGTGCAATGAACAACATGGTGGCAAAATATGGTATAAGCCTGACCTACTTTCAATAAAGTAATGCACTAAGGAAACAAAGGCTTCACTCCTTAACTGAAACTCATGAGTTCTAATTTATTTATTTCCAGTCTGTAGAAATCCATCTCTTAAATTTGAAGCCAGTTGTCTCTAGAGAAGAAAGTGATTACATGGTTAAATTTCCTTTATAGATTTTTAAAAGCATGTACCATATTAGACTGTAGTCTTTAGTTATGCCCTATTCAAAAAGATCAGTCCCATGATAACCTTTTGATTAAAAAAAATATAGAACCTCAAATAACCAGACTGCAACTATTAAGAGACTATTTAGTTCTACTTCTAAATGATAATGTCTGTTTTTCTCCCTTGTGCTTTGAAAACCGCTCTGCTTGCCTGTGGTTTTAATGCATCTCCATGTTGATTTTTTTAGTGGTCCATGGTACCCCAGTACGTACCCCGTGTGCTCTGGTAGCAGTGGCTCCCCAAGGCTCCCACGCCCTCGCTCCTGGTGCCACCCCTCCATGTCTCTCTTCCCCGCTTTCCCGGCCCCCACAGTGACACACACTTATCTGACAGGCCTACCTGGGACTCCTAGAGCTGTCAGCTGCCCGGGAGAAACACGAGGAATTCTGTGTCCCTATGGTTATGGTTCCTGCCACTGTCTCCAACAATGTGCCCGGTTCCGATTTCAGCATCGGGGCAGACACAGCTCTGAACACTATCACAGACGTAAGTGCGTATGTGCCAGCAAAGCAGGTGTGGCTGACGCTAACCGCAGGCTCCGGCTCTCTTTATCTACCAGTGCACTAGAAATAGCTCCTGCCAACCACCAAAATGAATTCTTTTAATTATTTTATTTTTGCACAAAAATACACTAAAAAGTCCATTAGGCTCTCAAAACTGTTGATTTAGCTCGCTGAATGTTTACCACTTGTCCTGCTATGCAGCGGCTGGGCTGACAACTTATCACTGTCTAGAGCTATTAAGTGACAGTGATTTTCCATAGCTAAGCGGATCAGATCATAGCATTTTTTGACTTAGGAATCATTAAAATTAGTTGGGTTTTTTTGTTCTTTTTGGAGGGTGTTGAATCTAATTTATTTCCAGCCTCTAACATCTTATCACGATGAATCTTGAGTTCAAGGTTCTCTCTTAAGGATACTTAAGGACAAACATTGAACTAAATGTCTTGTAATTTTATTCTTTTACCTGAATTCATTGCTCACACTTACTATATTTTGGTTATGGCCATTCATATTATTTTTCCACTGGTAAATTGGTGGTCTTAAATTACATCCAGAAATTTTTTTTTTTTTTTTTTTTGGTCTTTTTCGTTTTTATTGGTACCAGGGATCGAACTCACGACTGCCTGCTTGCAAGGCAGGCGCTTATGCCGCTGAGCTAAATCCCCAGCCCCACATCCAGAAATATTGATGCTCTTTTAGGTTGTTTGTTTGTTTGTTTTAAATTCAATGTCATAAAATTTTTCAGTTATTTTCAAGTTTTTATTTTCCTTAAGAAACCTAGATCTTGTAAATGATGTTTTTCTAAGATTTATTTTTCTTAAATTCTTGGCATCACACTTATTTCTAGCACTGGTAAATAAAAGCCCCCCAAAAGCTTTAAAAATAAAACTTAGTTGGTAAGTATTGCTTAGCACTTATTTCTTGCTTTTCTGAACTTCTAAACCTTCCTAAGTTTCTTTGCTAAAGCTTCCTGCCCAGTGTCTCCTGGAAGCAATATTTATTTATTTACCATCACTAACCTCTTACTTAGATACTGCATGTGCTTTCTGGTGACAGTTGTTACAGCTTTTGCTGCTATTGGCTGATTCAAGCTCTTGATGGATTTTCATTAGTAAATGTAAAGATGAGTATCTCCCACAAAATGAACTTTATCTTTTTTCTCTTTTATCTGCTTTAGCCAGATTTTAGGTCTGCATAAGCTGAGTTTGCAGGGAAAGCAATTAGAGCTTTTTCCTCATTGTTGCCTAATTAAATTACCTTAGTGGCTAGGTGGGGATCTGGACAGCTGTCATTTGCAGTTAGTAGCAGCAAAGCTTCTATAGGTGCTGACCAAGACTGGTGTTTACCTCAAGTTGGTGTTTGTCTCCTCGTAGATATTTGTACTTTCAAGCATGAAGGAAAGATTTTCTCATTTTACAGTTCCAAGTTCCTCTGCTACAAGCTATAAGAATTGTTTCCTCCAGGATTTTAAATATATAATACACATATAGTGGAACATTTGAAAACCAAAATATATAGGGAGAACTGCCGCAAATTATCTATTCCCTTGCCTTCTTACTTTCCTTTGAGGGATTTTGTAAATTTTCTTAAATTTAGTCCTTTATTCATTTGAGTTTTTCAAGACTAGAATGTTTGAGAAAGAAAAAGAACAAGTTGGTATTTACCATTTCTGATGGATTCAGGCACAGTCATACATGGTAAGTGTGTGAGTGTCTGTATTTGTGTGATATATGTTCTGTTGCTGAAGCTCCAAGGAGCTGGATCATCTTGGTTTTGATGTCTTCAGGTGTACAGCCAAGGCTGGGCCAGTCAGGATGCCCTAGGTGTGTGCTGAGATTGCTCTGGAGCCCAGGGAGGAATGAGAAGACAAACTGTCCTTTTGTGTCTCCTGAAGGCAAAGGCTCCAAAATACCAGCATGGCACCAGTTTCTTCCAGTGTTCATTTTATAAGTGATATTGATTCCTTGTTAGTATAGTTTGGATATGGTTCTGAACTAGGCTACGCTGACCAATGACGGGACCAGCCTCATTCCCAAAAAATGAGTACATGAGGGATATGTTCCCCCATTTCCCTTCTGACAGTTCTGGTATATCAAGGCAGCCCTCAAGGATTAAGGGTTCATAGCAAGTTAGTATCCATTCATTAACTGTACGTAATAACTTAAGCAGGTGTCCTAAACAGGCCACCTGTGTAGTCTGAGTAGCTTTTAATTTTATAACCCATGGACATCTCCCCATATTAAATGGTTCCTTTTGTTCAGATTTGGTGTTCCCAAGTGCACATGCTTTCACAGCTAGGGGATATTTGCAATATCAAGGAACGTTTTGGGTTGTTAGAACCAGGAAAAAGTTTGCTCCCAGCATCTAAACGGTAGAGGTCAGGGATTCTGTTTATCATCCTGCCACACACAGGAGAATCTCCACCACAGGCAATTATCTGGCTTTATTAAGGACAAGAAACCCTGAGCTAGTCTTATTTTATTAAACTGTCATCACCTTTGGGTATTTAATCATTGTTTTCATTAATCATTACCTCCTTGCCAGTAGTAATGCTTAACTTACAGATGCATCCTTAGAAATGAATCTCAGTAAATGCAGACAGTCTTCTGAAGCAAACAAAGTTAATAAAGTACCTCAGAGCACAAGTTTAGGAAATTCTGTTGATAAAGCTGCAGGATTTTTCAGTTGGATTTACTTTTTATCCCTTACCACTGGTGCAGCATTTTGTTCCACCTCAGAACAACCCAAAGCAAGCAGAGTATGAGTTGCCAGTGAATGCCATGAAGGTGGCATTGACCACAGCCCAGAGGATAGCCCTGAATTATGATCACCAAGAAACTGAATAGCATAATTACATTCCTAAACTCTATTCCATCTCTTTTCTTGGTGTGGATCACTCCAAACATGCAAGAAGGTTTAATAGTGTTTTAAACTGCACACCTGGTGCCAGGAGCAGGTGCAGCCACTGTCACTCTCTGCAGGAGCCAGAGGCAGGAGTCTTCTGTGTCTTCAGAGCTCCCTAGTTTCCTGGAAAAGGCTCCCTGGCTTCAGATTGCCCCCTCATTTGCTTGGAGATTGAAGTAAATCAAAGAGGAATAAAAGGGAGAAAAAACATACAATGTTCTTGGAGCAATACAACCACTATCAGAGATTTCGAAGTGGAGTTAAGAAAATAATACCCCTGACTGCAATCAACCCTTCTAATCTAGTATGCACAGAATACTGTGATCTCCAAGATGATCACCTGTACTCTTTGACTTCAGGTGGGGGGCCTTCTGAGAGACCTGAATTAACCCTGAGATAGAGCCCATCCCATATTAACCCTGAACCTACCTTAGTAAAGTGAGAGAAAATGCCTTTCTCAAAGTGTTGAGGAGGCCAACAAATAGTGTGTGTGCCGGCCAGCAGCATCCCTAAGACAGTTCTGATGTCAATTGTCAGAATCTGTAGCAAGACTTCCCCAAGGGTGCGTGTACTGAGCTCTAGTGGAGGTGAGGGCTGGCTGCGGTAGGCACTGGGGACCTACTGTCCACATTGCCATCAAGTTCCAGTGCTGACTGTCTGTGTCACCTTCCTACTGACCACTCCAAGAACTAACCTATTTGCAGGTCCACAGCCCATTGTTCCGAATTCTTGGGCCACACAGGCACGTGTTTGGATTGTAGAACAGTACTACAGGCACGTGCCATATTGTAAAACCCTCATAGGAAGGCCTGAGTCCCCATCTGCTTTCAACATTAGTATCTCTGCAGCAGATTAGACTGATACATCGAAAAACAGGTAAAACTATCAATGGGTCAGGCTTGCCACCAAATAAATGGTTTACAGAAACTCCTTGCTTTGTTGGGAGCTTCTTGAATTCAGGAACTGTGGGTGAGTGGACCAGCATTCTACTACTAATTTGTTTTTCACCCAAGGCAGAGAGTCAAAACCTCTGCCTATGGGATAAAGAATAGCTCACTTTCTTGACATCACAGCCCAAAGGTTTCACTCACACTGGAATTCCAAAGCAGTTGACTGGGTTCTCGCTGGTCTGTCCTGCTTTTAATGTAAGTAATGCCTGGGACCCTAAAAGGGAATCTCCCTCCAGAAGGGAAGTGGTTTCTCTGCCCAGAGCAGAGAGATTGAAGAGGTCTGGGGTCCCCAGTGACAGGCTAGTGAGTAACATAATTACATGCCTCCTTGTGTCGCCTGCTATGGCAGCATGTGCCTGCCTTCAAAGGATCCCTCTCTGTATCAGTGATGCCAGTCATTTGATGTCTTCCTGATAGCCATGTGCTCTTCCTGCCCTTTGCCTGCAAAACTTACAGGATTGGCATTGACTGTACCTTAAACTTCCTAACCTAATTGGCTTTCTCCACCTACTGTGAGATGCCAAGAAATGAGCAGCTGTTCTGTCTAATGACTAACACCATGATGCCACACATCTGCCCCATGCCTGATGCCTGCTTTGCTGCTTGCTTTACGCCACCTTACCTCAGCTGCTTATGGCCTCCTCCTATGGGATGAGGGGGACAAGGATGAAGGCCATGCCATGTGGCCCATGCATGATTGAGGCATACCCTCCTTCCTGCAGGGATGCTAATCTAGGCATCCTTTGGCTCTGTTGATCCGCATGAAACAGCTTCACCCTGGCGACTCAGGTCCCTCTGTCACATCCTGGAGCCACAGCCCACACCCAGTGACCAGCAGGTGATGTGCCTGTGCCCTGCTAACTGCCGTGGCCCTGCTGCTTCAGGCTTTCAACAGTGCGCTCGTGATGGCTAAGGCTCGAGACAGCCACGAGGAGTTTTGCTTTCCTGTGTGCGTCGTGGCTGCTACTATTAGCAACAGTATCCCAGGCACAGACTTTAGTATTGGTTGTGATACTTCCCTGAATGTGCTTGTCCAGGTAAGAGAACTCTGTTTCTACTCTTGCTTTGTTTTGTCTTAACCCTGTGTTTCTTCTGCCTTCAAAAGGCTACCTGTCAGGGCTAACTCCATCATGGAGTCTCTGTCCTTCCCCCAATCCCATCCTGAGCAAAAGTGGAAGGGGGAGCCCATCATGTGGTACATGCCTGCAATCCCAGCTACTTGGGGAGCTGAGACAGCAGGATTACATATTCAGGGCCAGCTTGGGCAACTGAACAAGACTTTATCTCAAAATAAATATTAAAATAGGGGCTAGGAATTTAGCTCAGCAGCATAAGCACCTGCCTTGCAAGCAGGCGGTTGTGAGTTCGATCCCCAGTACCAATAAAAAGTTAAAAAGTTAAAAAAAAAAGTATAAATATTAAAATAAGAGCTGGGCATATAGTTGAGTGGTAGAGCACTTGCCTAGCATGTGTGAGACCCTGAGTTTCATCTTCAGTACAGACAAATTAAAAAAAAGAAAGAAACTAAAAGGTGAAGCCCATTTAAGTAATCTTTCAGAGTAAATGAACCAGATGTCCCCCATTAGCTTGACTTTATAACAGACTAATTTTTTCCTAGTTTCTCTTGGGGGACCCTGTCTTTGTCAATTAAAGTTAAATGTTCTATGCAATCATTTTATAGTAATACTATACCACCTAGGCAAGGGGTGTGGTGGGCATCATTTCTGGTAAAGCCTGTTGCTTCTGTCCAAATTCTAATAGCACTAGAGGGGGATCATAGAGCAAGTCACTGAAATGTGCACAAAGAGGATTTGGATGCTAGGTGAGTATGAAAGCTCCAGAACAAAGCATACTGACCCATCTGTCCAAAAGGAGTCCCAGGCTGCCAGCTGACAGCACATCCTTCCTGGTGAGATGAGAGGAACTCTAGAAGCTAAAGTCATGCTCTCCCGGGAGGGTGCTTTACCAAGGACTGATCTTTGGGCATGGACTGTTTCAGGAGGTCCCAGACATGGTGCTGACATCCACACTGCAGTGCATGTAATGTAGAGTTCTCATGAGCTGGCCCCTCTGTGTTGAACACTGGGACTTCTCAGGTAGCTCCAAAGGCCTGTGCTGCAGGGAGTGACCCACACCTATCAGGAAGAACCCTGGTCCCTGTGTGGTGACTTCTGACTCACCATGCTAGCACTGCCTAGGACCGTGACTGCTGGCTCTTATCTTAGACATTCATGTCCAAGTTGGCTCCAGAGTGAGAGCAGGGAGAAATCACAACTTTGTTGCTAGATTCCTTAGTTCAGCCTTGCACACAACCTCAGAGAACATTAGTTTCACTCCAGGTTCTTCTAAGTTGACTTATAAGACAGGAATAGGAGAACAAAGGCCTCCAGTTAAGCCAATCATCCTAAGTCTCCATTAAAATCTTTACACTCAACTCATAAACTGATGGACACCCTTGAGGTGTCTCCATCATGCTTGTTCTTGGGATGTCCCAGCAGGAGGATGGCCTCCCAGAGCCTAGCCTCAGCTCAGGACCAAGGTAAAAGCACTATTTCCCTTCCTGAGAGTTGTCTCTCTGCATGTTGGATAAGATTATAGACAAGCAATCAGCTTGCTGTGAGTGACCAGGCTTTGTCCTGGCTTTCCTCTCCTTCCACACTTTCCAGGAAAAAATTTACCATCTCACCAGCTTTAACCACTCAATGTTTGTGATGTAGAACAACCCTGGCTGCACTGGCAGGGAAACAAATTTTGCTCAGCCAATAGAGGGTCAAAACCCAGTCTGCCTGTTGCCCAGCCTCGCACCATCTGGTCACTCAAGCGTTGGTGGTATAGTGGTGAGCATAGCTGCCTTCCATCTGGTCACTCAAGTTCAGCAGTCAGCTGGCTCCCTTGAAGGAATCCCACAGTCATGGGGCAGTTGACCTCCTAGCTCATTAGAAGAGCAAGCATGTTCCCACACTCAAGTCTGCTGGTTTTTTCTCTCCTAACCCTGTAGTAGTAAACTCCACTTTATCATTTAAACTTCGATTATTATTTTTCAACAACTAATGCAGCAACATGGTATCAGTGTTTGAACTGTGGCGTGGAGCAGACACCCAGATCTTCCCCCAGAGAATCGTCTGTATGCGACATGGGAATCCACTAGGGCTTGATGCTTGCTGATAGAAAAGTGTGGCCAGTACTAAAGGGCAGGTCTAGCTGTGGGTGCTGTCAAAACTGCACAGTGGGGATGACACCGATTCTTCTTCCCATCTTAAAACAGTCGGGACCACCAGAATATGGTCAGATGGTATTTGGACTTTTCCTTGTCTCTACTTCTTTGGGTAATTAAATTTGACAAGGCTAGAATGGCTTACTATTTTTAGAAGAAGTGAATTCAAGCCTTCTGATACAGTCTGCATAAGGGGAAAGTATTTGGAAACAATGTATTTAAACTTCAAGCAAAGGCAGATGATTGCAATCCAGCTGTCATTATGTTTCAATCAGTAGCATACAGAGAATCAGGTCTCTGCTCAGTTGTCAGGTTCACTCAATGTAGGTTATATCTCACTGCCAGCCCAGCTGTATTGGAAGACACAGGTCCTTACAATAGAGCTACTTTTCCAGGAGTGTTTGTTTACTATTAAGTGTAAACTATGACACTGTTCTTTGAATTAGTAACAGTCAGTCTCCTTAAAATGAGCATATGGAGAAGATTATGTCAGGAAAATAACCCAACTGGTGTTGCCCCTATAGGGGAACCTGATGTCCACCTGCCTGCCTCAACATAGCCACCCCTCTTCTGCAACCCAGCACCCCCTATAATGGCTCTGGGCCAAAGACTGTGCAATTTGAGGACTTGAACTCCATGTAGAAATACCTAGTACAAACAAACCATCAGTCTGTTTTTCTTCTTCACTTCTTGGCTTCTAGAGAATGCAAAGCTGCCCATCTGCTAAAGCACAGACTGAATCTTGAATAAATCAACTAATGGGGTGGGGCGTAGAATCTATCAAAGAAATTGGAATTATAGGTTAGAATGATTTTAATGAAACTTATATCTGTTCATCAAAGTGTTCTTTTAAACTTAGCGAAAATACTCAAAATTTTCCAAGTTGATATTACTTTCCTTTGACACAAAACATTCTTTCCTCTTCCTCTAAAGGTTGACTCAAGCCCAGAGCACCATCTCCCTTCCTGAGTTCTCTCAGAACCATGGGGACAAGTTTAGGGATTCTGTAGCAGCAGGCTGGGTTGGCTGATAAAGGGCTGGATGACACATACATTTGTTTCATCCAGTGACATTTATTGAACACTACTGTGTTGGAAGCATGGCTGGCTGCTGATGAAACTACTGTATTGTGTAGAATAAGCCCAGCCCAGGATGCCACCTCTCATGAAATTTGTATCTAGTGAGAAATGTAGACCCAAATCAAATAACCGCTCTAGTGATTACAGGAATATGTACTGGGATGGTTTCTATGATGAAAGGTCATGAGAGGCCCTAATAGGGCAACTTTCTTGCTCTGGGCAGCATTTTTCTGAGGAAGTAACATTACATTGAGTCAACACTAAAGAGGAAGGAGCCTGAGTATTCTGTGGCTGTTGCAACAAATGACTAAAAATGTCATGCCTTGCCTTAAAGCAATGTTCACTTTATCACTGTTCTGCAGGGAGGAAGTCAGTGAGCTGAAGTAAAGGGGTGGGCTCCTGGAAGGGCCTTCTTTCCTATTCTAGTTTCTAGGCTCCATTCCTTGTAGGCCGTAGGCCCCGGCCTCTCTTCTGTTTCCCAAACCAGTATACAGCATCTTGCTCCAGGACCTAGCGATCTTCTGCCTCCTCCCCCAGTCTCACCGGTGCCTCTCCTGGGAACACACATCATGACACTTAAGAGTCTACCTCAATAATCCAGGATAATCTCCAGGGGTCCAGATCTTACTCAAGGGAACATTCCCAGGCTCCAGGGATTAGGCTCTGGAGACCTTTGGTGTTCCTATTCCAGTTCATGTCTAGAGACCAGCACACACGAAGGCCCCAAGGACCACAGCACAGCACATCTCTGGGCCAGGACAGAGCTGGAGTCAAGAATGGCCAAGGAAGGGTTCCATCCAAAGACTGTGACACAGACTTGAAGTAGTAGTAGTTAGTGAAGGGTTTTGAGGAGCACTAGATCTCAATCAATTTTTTTTTTTAGAATTTTTTTTTTTTTTGTCTTATCGGTACCAGGGATCGAACTCATGACTGCCTGCTTGCAAGGCAAGCGCTTATGCCACTGAGCTAAATCCCCAGCCCCAATCAAATTGGTTTTGATAGATGGATCTCAGCTTATAGATTGGATGCCAAGGGCTGGAGTACAGGCTTTCAGAGTCCCAAGGAAATGAGTGGCACCTAGACTGAGGCAATTGGTGAGAGACGGCAAAGAGATTTTTCTTACTTTTCTGCACCCCAAACCTGGGCCCTCATGGCAGGTAGACCGCAGGACATTTCATTCTGAGACCTGGTACCTGTCTGGAGGGCTCCTCTGGGTATCTTTTTCTAAGAAGCTACTATTTGTGAGTAGAGGTAGCCCAGCCATAACATAACATCACATCCATGGGTACACTGAAGATGACCAAAACCCAATTGTCATAGGGAGCTTTTGAAAAACGAAATTAACCGTTAACAAACTAACTAGTTGACACTCCCATAAAATCTAACTTCACACCTCCTGTTGACCTCCTGTGAAAGCACCAAGGACACATTCTAAAAGCAGAGTGAGCTGGCTTAAGTGACCATCCTTCCTATCACGTTCTGAGGTTTCCAGGAAAAGGGTAGTGCCAGACCAGGTCCCCACCATGGGTGACTGGAGTGAGCACAGGGCATTTGGCTCATGGAGGCAGCATCCTGGCAGCTGTGTGCACTTTCCCTCTCTCTGTCCAATGCTCCTGACTGCATGCCCAGGCTTGGTGGAGGGACTTGGCTGTAGCTCGTCGGGGGAGCAGGGCTCTGGCCTAGTGTGCATCCAACACTGGCCAAGGTCCTGGCTTGGAATAATTGATCTCTCCTATCTGTGACCAGACATGTGACCGAATCAAGCAGTCCGCCAGCGGTACTAAGCGACGTGTGTTCATCATCGAAACCATGGGGGGCTACTGTGGATACCTAGCCAACATGGGGGGACTTGCTGCTGGAGCTGATGCTGCCTACATTTTTGAAGAGCCATTTGACATCCGAGATCTGCAGGTATGTCACTGCGGCAGGCTGCTGTGGATGCCGTTTGATGCTCCAATTGATGATGCTAAATGAGTATTTGTATTTACAGTTGTTTGCTATTGAGAGGCTGGAGGTGATAGTGTAGAACATCCCACAGTGCATCCCTGCAGTTATCTCACCAAGTACAGAAGCTTTTACTTTGGTACAAGCACTTTTCAGTGTATGACAGTGAATAGATAGAAGAAGGCCCTTTTTTTTGTGCCTAAAAACACAGACTAATGTTCTTCTAGTCTATAACTAAATAATTTCATACACATGTCACAAGATATTAAGATGATGTTTACTTGTTTAATGGGACCCAACACTTCAAGCAGCTTTGCTTAGGCCTGAAGTTATAGCCACAGGTCAGACTTCCAGTGTCCCCATGTACCCAAGAGTGAGGAGGTTTGTGAGGCTGGAGAAAAATTTCCTGGCTGGAGCTCTGGCATCTGCCTACAGGAGCAGCCTAGTGCCTTGTGCGGTACTAAGTTCAGCGGGGAAGATGAGGTGCCCACCACTAGGGTGGACAGAGCAGCCTGTGACAGTACAGTGACTTAACTCTCCTCAGGGGACAGGGGATGCCATAGATGCTACCAATTCAAAACAAAACAGGAGCCAAACTGACGGCTTTTTTCCTGCTTTGCACTGTTTTCTAGTATTTTTAAATTTAAAAATTCATTCTTTAGAGCAGTTTTAGGTAAAACACTACAGAAGGTATAGAGAGAGGTTTCCCATATGCTGTGCCCCGTCTTTACCAAATCCTCCTGCCCAGCCTCCCCTGCTACAGGGGTACGTATCACTGTGGATGAACCTTCACTCACAAATCCATCCCCGAGTCCATGCTTTCTTTCCATGAGGACTCTGGCTTCCCACAGCCTCTGTTTTAAATGAAAGGCTGGCTCAGCTGTCATGGGCCCAGGCCTAGTCTGGTGCCCAGAGATTGGTGGGAGCTTCAGCACCAGCTGCAGGTGGTCACAGTTTAGGTGGGGAGGAGAGAACAGAAGGTCCAGAGGGCCAGTATCTGCTCCGACCCTGTAGCCTTTACAAGTTGCTAAACGCCCTACGGAAGGATCAGTCTGGGCAGATAAGATACAAATTGAGCAACTCTGTTTATGATAAAGTTATGATGGTACCTGATTTTGAACTAAATCAAGTAAAGCAATGGTTTGGTGTTTTGCTTTAGTTTTGTTTTTGCTTTTTGCCATACTAGGGCTTGAACCCAGGGACTTCATACTGAGCTACATCCTCAGCCCCTCCCTGCCTTTTGTGAGATAGAGTCACTAAGCCACTGAATTGCCCAAGCTGGACTTGAACTTGCAATCCTCCTGCTTTAGCCTCTCAGAATAGTGAGATTACAGACAGACACCACCATGCCTTGTTTAGTGTTATTAATGACAAGTCTATATGCTTGTGACATGGACATTAAAACCATAAGTTTATTGGCAATTCTGAATTTTATACTTCAAAATTCTGAGGACAAAGTTGTACTAGCACTTAGCATGGCTCTTAACACACAGTAGATGTTTAAAAAGTTAATTGTGACTAAGATATTATATTTAAAAAGCCACCATTTTTTAGGATGAGTCACTAGGAAATTAACTTCTGTGATCTTTGCATATTAAGATGTTGCACATTCTTTTTCAAGATTTTTTTTCCTTAACAGAATTGTGTATGGGTATGAGTCTTTTATGTTTTTTCTTGGTTAGAAAATATTCAAAAGAATTCTATATAAAGTTAGGCAGTAGCCGGGGGTTTAGCTCAGTGGCATAAGTACCTGCTTGGCAAAAGCAAGGTCATGTGTTCAATCCCCAGCACCAAAAAAAAAAAACCAAAAAAAAGTCAGGCAATAGATAGTTATTCTCTCCTGAGAATATTAAGAGCAGATTGTCATGAAAATGATAAGGAGCAATAGATAAGCGTAAAAGCAAATATGCAGAATAAAATAAACATTTAAAGAGGGAAACCTATTTATTTTTTAAAACATTCCCTGCGCAAGTTATAAATTCCACTTGCTAAATAAATTTGCTCAGTGATGTCGGCCTATGTATGAGTCAGCTTTCCCACTGCTGTTGACATAATATCCAACGTCACAACTTGAAGAGGTTTGATTTAGCTCAGTTTCAGAGGATTCAGCCCATGGTCAGTTGGCTCCAAGGCAGGAACGGCATGGGGGAAGAATGGTGGAGCAAAGCCACTTAGATCAAGGCAGCGGATAAGCAGAGAAAAGGAAAAGCACCAGAGAGGAAAGAGCCGGGAACCTGACAGAGACCCACCCAGACACGCCCAGAAGTGAGCTCCACCACTCCCCTGGATGGCTCCCAAGACAATCAGAGTTGACATAATTGATACATTACCCCAATCCAGCTTAACCCACCTACTTCTATCACACATCTATTATTTTGATTTAGTATTGTTACCTTTGCATTTACCACTACCTAATACAGTCCTCTTTTATGGTCTACTGCAAACAATAAAAGCTGCCGCCTTCTCTCTTTGCTTGCTGCCACTTCAGCATTTACCTTATAGTACTGGCACACAGTAGATGCCTAGTAAGTACTGTCTGATGAGCAAAATAATTTTTTTCTAGTCCAATGTGGAGCACCTGACAGAGAAAATGAAGACCACCATCCAAAGAGGTCTTGTGCTCAGGTAATGAAAATATACTTGTAATCTTATTTCATTTTAGACCTAGGTTCTTGGAAACTGTCTCATGCTCTGAAATGTTAGTTTGGTCCTTTTACCATTGATTCTCACTGTGAATACTGAGAAACACAGAAGTAAGAGTTTGCATTTAAGTAAAAGGTGACTTTTAAGATTTTTGCTTTGTAGGTTTTGTTTTTTGTTTTGTTCTGAAGATATCTTCCAATTGTTTCTTTAACTAAGGCCCCTGAGCTTTATGAAGAAAGGAGCAAGTATCTAGAGTCAGGGTAGGGGAAGAGGATTAAGATGACGGAGCTGACAGGTGGCTAAGCACCCCGGCCATCTGCAGACTGATGGGTAAAACACCTCCCCAGTGCCTGGCCAGTGAACTCAGCTGCTTCCTGCTCATTTCAGGAATGAAAGCTGTAGTGAGAATTACACCACCGACTTCATTTACCAGCTCTACTCTGAAGAAGGAAAAGGGGTGTTTGACTGCAGGAAGAACGTGCTGGGCCACATGCAGCAGGTAGGGTGACATCCCAGAGTCCGTGTATCTCTGGGACTGAGATACACTGAAGCAGAAGACAATGCATTACCTGTGTGACCCTTTTTACAGTGATGTCTTCTTTTAACCATACTGGGGAAAGATATATAAGTAAATTCCATAAGGACTTAAAAACATCTAGTTTGTTGGGGTTTTTTTAAAGAGACTAGGGCTGGGGGTTTAGCTCAGGGGCACAAGCACCTGCCTGGCCAGTGCAAGGTCCTGAGTTTGATCCCTAGTACAAAAAAAAAAAAAAACTAAAGAGAATAAAACCAAGTAAAATAAAACAGAATAAAGCCAATCAAAACAGTGTGATACAGCATTTCAAAACAAGATAATAGGCAATAACAATGCTCACATAATGCCTCTTGTTGTCTTCAAAACAGCTGCAGACACCTTCAGATATAGTAAAAATCAAAAAAAACAGAATAGAAATAAAAACAACAATGAATGCAATAAAGGACTTCAAAACAAGTTAATAGATATCCAAAATGGCTACCATAATATATCTTATCTTTGAAATAGCTGCTCATGCCAACAGATACAATAAAATCAAGTAAGACAAAACAGAATAAAACCCAAAACATCTAGTTTCTGAGACATACAAAATACCATCAGCTTTAGGGTTCTTTTCTTTCCTTTTTTGTTTTTCGGTACCAGGAATCAAACTTACAACCCTGAACTTGCCAGGTAGGTGCTGTGCCACTGAGCCATATCCTCAGCTCCCTATTTTAGGATTTATTCTCCTGTGATACTTGGATACAGGAATTTTAAGGAAAAATACAAACTTTCATGTAAATAGTTACACAGTTCCCCCTCTTCCTTGTATTTTAGAAAATTTTAAAAATGCTATCAAATTTCAACATATGACATGAGTTCTATAGTACTATATAATGAAATAGTAGGCGATGCATTTTTTTGTGAAACTGGGTCCACAGATTATCAGATTCTTAAAGGAAATTATGATTCTTCCCAACCTCACAATAAATTTACAAAACACTTATAGAAAAGTCTAAAATAATGAAAACTATTAGGTGTTTGTCCAAGTGACAAAAACCCTCATTTCAGGAGGACAAAGCTGAGTGACCCTTACCCTTATAATGCTGAGTGTAGGCTGCAGGAATCAGATTTTTCCCCAAACTGAATGTAAAAAAAGATCAAAGTATACTTACAAGTTCCATTAAAAATGTGAATTTATTTAAATTACAAAATTTTCTCTTTTTTTGTTTTTGTTTGGGGGGGGCTACCAAGAATCAAACTCAGGATCCCGTTCTTGCCAGGCAGACATTGTACCACTGTACCCCACCCTCTTCATTTGTTCTTTTTTTTTTTTAAATCAGGAAAGTATTGTTGTATAGCTAATATTTCACATAATACACCCAACAGGGTGGAGCGCCTTCTCCATTTGATAGAAATTTTGGAACCAAAATCTCTGCTCGAGCCATGGAATGGATCACTGCCAAACTGAAGGAATCCCAGGGCAAAGGTACGTCACTGACAGGTAGAACACTGTTATATGCATTAGAGTGCTTTTTTGGTGTTATATGCATTAAAGTGTTGTTGTTCTTTACCTTCTTAAATCTAGAGCTTTAAGTAGTAACAGTGCTATTCTGTGAGTAATTTCTATTTATGACTGTCAACATTATAAATACAAATATGAGCTATGGTTGAAACATGTGAAAGTTAGATATTCTTAATTACAGTAAAATACACATTGCTATTGACCCCCTTCAAAATTCTCCCTATCTTCAACCACACTTATCCCATCATTTTTGCCTCTTTCTGAAGTAGTTCTGAAAATCCTCTTGCATACTTTAGTTGTACTGTCTTAATTGCCTTTACAACCAAATTGATTCAGAATGCTAACCTTTCATGGTCACTGTGACTTAAAACAGCCAGAATTCACATGGCGCCAGATCCGTAATTTTTATCACACCTTGTAAAGATATTCATAAAAGAAGACTTCCAGAACTGCTTTCAGAAAGTAGCAAGAACAATGGGATATATTCAAAGTAAGGGACAATACAAGGGGGCTGAATACTAGTGACTATGTGTGTATAACAAAATTTTTTAAAACATGTATCATGTATTTTGATCATACCTCATAATTAACAAATATAATGCTTTGACCCTGTCAGTGATGGAAAACATTTGAATTATTTAGCATTCTTTGTAGTAGGCAGAAAATTGCTGTGTACATTGGATTCTATTAGCAAGACTATAAAATGTTACTTCCTCAATGACCTGAAACACTTTGAACTGGCTTTTACATAAGACTTAGTGATACCTGTGCAGCATTGTTTTTGTTTTTTATTTTTGTTTTGTTTTGTTTTGGCACAGAGATCGAATTCACAACCTCACACTTGCCAGGCAGGTGCTTACACCACTGAGCTAAATCCCTGGCCCAGCATTGTTTTTAAGATAGAAAAATCCCACAACTATGGAAAATGATCTATTTTCTTTCCAAACTCGTGTGTCCTTCAATATTTTACCCCCTCCCTGCCAAAAGCAAACTCAGAACTTGTAATAATCATTCTCTTCATTTCCGCAACATTTTATTACCGATGAGAGAGCCTTCAAAGACAAGATTAGCTTGGCTCTGGTGTGCAGCAAGGGCAGACTGCAGGCTCTTCTCCATGACTGCCTCTCCAGTGCCTCTGGATTACAAGGCCGTCTTGATGCATGTCCATTATCTCATGCTCCTCACTCCAGGAGGCAAACTTGACCCCTCTGCTGACACTGGCATTTGAGTTTCTGGTGTTTATTGCACATACTGCTACAGTGCCCAAGTCCCTGAGACCTGCCTCAGGTGTGTGCCCAGCCTTTGCCAGACTAGTTCTCCAACTGACTTTACCAGTCTCATGCCGCGTGCTGCACTTGATACCCAAACTTCCCAAATGTCCATTTGGTGTGTGTGAGGTAGCTTCCTTGTAAATTTTAAGAAAGGGAAATGACAGGTTCTTAAATTTATCTAACATTCTTCTGTTTCTTGTGGTTTTATTTTTTGAGACACAGTTTCACTATGCAGTTCAGGCTGGCCCTGAACTCACTTTGTAGTCCAGGCTGACCTCAAACTCACAGCAATCCTCCTGCTGCAGCCTCCTGAGTGCCTAGATTACAGGCATGCGCCACCACACCCAGCGTGTTACCTAATATTCTTGATCTCTGTAAACTGTCCAAATATTTTTCCTGTTTTTCTGTTGTTTGGATACATTTTACAAAATTTTAATATATGTTATATCTTTTATTTGCGTTTCATATTCTGAGTATCTTCCAGTCACATATTGCAGACATCTGAACCTATCTTGTGGCACACCATGTAATGCTAAGGAAGTCCTCCAAATCTCAGTATTGTCAGCTCACACACATTTTGCTTCATGGCTTCAGTTTTGTCTCAAAAATACTCTTTAAGTTTTAATCTACTTGATAGGAAGGTTGAGGTCTTAACTTAAATTTTAGACTGTGAATGATAAATTTGGCTGCTGTTTTTTGAAAAAAAATATTCCCACTCTGTAATATAATGTCCATCATAGACAAGTATCTGTTAACTTAAAAACTGTTTCTGGGTCATTGTCAGTATTCCAGTTTAATAAATTACTGACATCTGATAGCACAGGACCCCTCACCTGGGCCTTCTTCCAGTGTCTGGCTATCCTTGGCCACTTGTGCTGTCACGGAAACAGACCAGATTGTCAAGGGCCAATAAGATTTTGGATTTTTTTGTTTGTTTTGGGGCTAGGCTAGGCTAGAGGGCATTTGTAGCATTCCATCAATAAACTATGGAGAAAAGGACTTTTGACACAAGGTTTCACTATGCAGTTCAGACTAGCCTTGAATTCAGTTTGTAGCCCAAGCTGACATCAAACTCGCACGGATCCTACTGCCTTAGCCTCCCAAGTGCTGGCACTATAATCATGCACCACCACGGCCAGCTGAACTGACATTCCTATAATACTGAACTTTTGTTTTTGGGTGGAGCGAAGTGGGATGTGGCAGTATTGGAAACTGAACCCAGGACCCTCTGGATACAACACAAACACTCTACCACTGAGCTACACCACTGGCCCTTCCAAGAAGGGTTTGTTTTGTTTTTTGAGATAGGATCTAAATTGCTCAGGCTGGCCTCAAACTTGCAATCCTCTTGCCTCTGCTATAAGCATGCATCACCACACCTAGCTAATATTGAACTTTCTAACTCATGATCATTGAGTTTTATAGAACCTTTTATAGAACCTTTTGTTCTTTTATTAAACTTGTTTTATAAAAACTTTGATTATGCTTTGGTAGGTTTATTCCTAAATTCTTGATTTTCAAGTACATTACTGTAAATGGTACTTAAATACAAAGAGAACTACCTTTTTGCAATCAACTTTTCTAGACTCTGACCTCATTACTTGCAGTCATGTTTATATACATTCATATCGTCTGTATTCAGACTTTTCATTTTCAATACTTTGTCATGTTTGTACCCTACTGTACCAGTTAATCTCCTCAGTAAACCTTCACTAGTGACAGCAAGTTCCTGCACAGCTCTCAATTGGGAAGGGAACAAGAATGCTTTCAGTGTTTCGTGATGAGTAATTCTAACTGAAGTCTGTTCATTTCTCAGTGGTCTCCAATACATGTCATTTGCTAAGGTTTTTTTTCCCTATTTTTAAAGGACAGAACTAACTTTTTCATTCACTGTGGATTCCATTTGTAGTACTTTCTGTGCAGGCTTTTTGTTTTGCTAACTGTGAAGTGTACCAGTAATTTCCCCAGCAGTGATGTCCTTCACAGGCACTGCACGGAGCTTTGGGGAAGGGGTGATTTCCCTCAGAAAGTTTAAACAAGATGGAAGTTTAAGTTTAGCTTTTTGAATGTTTGGTAGGAACTCTATACATTAAACACTTCCCATTTTCTTTGTAGGAAAAACTGACTGCTAATGGTTATTTGTAGAAGAATGCATTTGGGGGGGGGAGGGTACCAGGATCAAACCCATGACTTGCACTGTCAGGCAAGCACTTGTGCCACTGAGCTAAACCTCCAGCCCCTCATGTTTTTTCTTGAATTGCTTTTGTAAGTTACATTTTCTGGACACCTTGAATTCATTTAAGTTTCAAACAATGTGGCATGAAACTTCATAATCTCTCTCCTTTTTGATGTCTGCAGTATTTCTGGTCTGCATCACTCTTCATTTTAGTTTTTTATGCCAGTATTTTTTTTCAATCACTTTTAGGTTTCTTGATCAATCATGCCAGGTGTGTGTTTTCATTAGAGCAAACCTACCTAATTTCTAATATCTGGCTTAGAAAAACAATAGTCTAAAAAAATGGTGATAAAATAACTCTAGCCAATTTTTGGTACTTCTCAAAGAATTAACCTGAGCTTTCCTTCAAATAGCTTTCCTACATCAGTCTCTTTTATATTTCTACGGTGTGAATTTGTTTTCTCACTTTATCAACTGAATGCGTCTCTTTCAACCTTCAGCCTCTCTATGTGCATTCATGAGCATTTACTATGCAACTGAAATCTTTCCTTCTGTAAGCCCATTTTCCTATTCTAGTAATTAGTGAGATATTTACTCACCAGCACTGCTAAAAATAAAACAAAAAAAACTCCTTTCTAGGACTCCCTCACTGTCTGTGGTGGCTGTTGCACCTGGCAAGTGGTACAAGTAGCCTCTCCTCAGGGAATGTGAAGTAAGGGGGCCCCACCTCAACGTGGGTCTCTCAGCCTGTCCTGAAGACAGAGCCTGTCATGACAAAGCATGCCTCAGAAGAGACAGAGCAGAGCAGAGCTGCAAGGGGAAAGCCTGTGCTCCAGATGTCCCTGGTGGTAAAGACAGCTCTGTTTCTCAAATGGAACTACCCATCAGGATTCCCAAGCCTGCTTGTGAAAACTAGGAATCCCCTGGCTTTTATCTCAGGGCAGTTCTAAAGAATCTGAACTGTTACCTTGTCATGTGATTTTGCTTCCTGAAGTTAATGAGCTTTTCTTTTCCTTTTACCATTCCTTCTTTATTATTTTATCTGTCTATCCAATATGATGAGTTAGTAATACTGAAATTTTTTTTTTTTACTTTACAGGAAAAAAATTTGTTACTGATGATTCCATTTGTCTGCTGGGAATGCGCAAAAGAAACTTGCTTTTTCAACCTGTAACAGAGCTGAAGGAGGAAACAGATTTTGAGTAAGTCAGCAAAACACTATGTCCAACTCTCAGTGCCATCAGAAGGAATTACATGAGTCATGAGGACAGAGAAACACCACTACCTATTACTTAAATATAAGTAATTCGTTCAAGTATTTTAAGAACATAATTGGCTTTTTGAGGCTAATTTCTTAAAAACAAGACTTTTTTAAGCTAGCCATGATGATGCACTGTAATCCCAGCACCGTGCGGGGCTGAGATAGGATTGCAAATTCAAGCCCAGCCTGGAAAATTTAGTGCAACCCTATCTCAAAAATGAATAAAATACAAAAGAGCTGGGGTATATGTAGCTCAGCGATGTAAAGGCCCCAGTAACATATTTAGAAATAAGGCAGAATTTTTAGAAATGTAAAAATAATGATTTAGAAAGTTGTTTTATTATCCAAAATCTATTCAGGTGACCCCACAAGGCTCATCTTTTCTGGCACCACTCTACACTGCTGGCCACAGGAGCAGGTGCATCAGTTGTCTAATTGTACATGGGTACTTACTGCCACCCTGTCACCCTTCACAGGCACAGAATCCCCAAGGAACAGTGGTGGCTGAAACTCCGGCCACTCATGAAGATCTTGGCCAAGTACAAAGCAAGCTATGATGTGTCAGACTCTGGACAGCTGGAGCCTGTGCGTCAACGTGGCACTCAGGGAGAGGAGCCTGCAGACATCTGAATGCCACATGCCACCACTGACCGTGACTAGGGAAACCTGGGACTCACCAGGGACCATCCTTTTTGTAACACTTATTTATCAGCACTTTATGCAAGTATTATTGACCGTGATACAGCAAGCATCAACCACCAGTGTCATTCCTATAGCCCAGGCAGACCCCAGGAAATGAAAGCACCCTCACTCCAGTGTGAGTTGTTTACTGTACCCTGTGTTTTGTGTCATGCTTAAAAAATTCGTGTATCTAGTGGAATTAAAGATTTGGCTAAAATTCTGATTTTATTCTATTTTCTTATATGATTTTTTTTTTCTTTTTTTTAAACCGGGGCTCCAACTCATGACTTCACATTTGCCACACAGGCATGTGTGCCACTGAGCTATATCCCAAGACCTTTTAATAGGATCTTAAAATTTGAGGATTTATAGGTGGCCACTGAAAATCTCTCAATTTTGTGAGAAGAGATTAGGAAAATATATTTATAAGGCATCATCGAACTAGGCTCAAGTGTAAAGTCATAAAAGGAATAAAAAAAAAAATGCTTTCACAAATAGCAACTGCCATGCTGAGTAAACATAGAAACTCCCCTTCTGAGAGTTTATGTGAAGAACAGCCCAGGGCTGGGACACCTGAGCACAGGACCAGCTCTGGCAGTAATGACCACACAGGCGGGAAAAGTCATGTAACTCCAGGCACACATGAAACAAGGCATAGATCAAAAACGAAAAACATGAACATAAGCCCTAAGAATAAGGCATCTTACAGTCTCTTGATTTCAGCTGTCAAGGGGGAGGGGGTTAAGAATCTGACATTTACCATCTCGAACAAGATAGTCGTGGTGCAGATGGGGCATGAGTTTGAACTCTGGATTCTGAATGCTGCCAAAGGGGAGGATGATGAAATCCTATATGGCAGCCTGCTGAACTGACAGGTGTTCACTGCGTGCAGAAGCAGCTGTGCCTCTTCTCCAGTCTGTGTACTCTCAGACCTAGTCTCCAAAAGCCAAAACCCAGACATCTGTGTCCCAGAAATGGAAAAGTATTATACAAAAGGGGAGGGAAGGGATGCTCAAAAATAAGTTTTGTATGGGAAATGTGGGAAGAAAACAAAGGAACAGCTGCTAGCAAGTTTTCTGGCTCAGTGAAGACAGAAAGTTAACGCTTAATAACCAAACACATCTACTTCTTAAGATAGATCCATACCAGCTGCTCTGTTCAACTCCCATTTGTTGGGCAGATGTTCTGCAAGTTTGTGGTACAATCCCACCTTTTACATAATCACGCCAGGCAGTTGCTGGAAATTTTGTTCATTTTAAATAAAGACCCTAACACACATTACTTTAGCAAAACATTTAAAACAACTAAAGCACAGGTAGGTCAAAGATGACTTTTATTTTTAAAATAAATGTCCTAGGATTATAAAGTTTTAAATTTCCACTTAAATATTTTATGCCTGAATATTTCAGTTAGTTTCTTCATGCTCTCTATTTCTTTAAGATAAAAAGGTTTTGTCCAACTTACCAATTAATACCTTTGGTCAAATTTTAAGAAAGACATGATTTTTGGAACAAACAACATTTTTGATATTTCATACTAAAATTAACTGAGAGGCATAATTTGTAAGAGGCTGAGTTCCTGAGTATAGTCAGAAATGCTTGTGACCAGCTATTTCACTATCCACGATGGATCCTTAGAAATTTTTTCATTCTCTGGTCCAACTATAGCCAGTCCGTGTGTGCTCTTCCCAACGCCAAGGTACCTGGAAGAAAGACCACAAGTGAGGACGGTTTCCCACATGGACCATTTCTAAGGTGTACAGGACATGTTCGTATTTCTGAGTTTCACTGTCCCTCCCTGAGCATGTGAAGGCCCTCTATACATACTCACTTGTCACTCACAGCAGTAAGACTGTCGTGGCTGACGGCAAAGAGCTGCTCCCTATGCAGCTGCTTCATCTCATTGGAGAGGCCATATAAGAAGTGGTCCAAGCCTGAAAGTTAAGCCATGGATACAGCTGGAAAAGCTGGCTGGGAGATGGCCTGCACATGGTATCTGTGCGCACAACTTGGTGACACTGTCATAGTAGGCACATTTAAATAAAAGAGCTGCATGCCCAAAAGAGCATGGGTGGAAGTCAGGAGTGGTAGCCCACCCCTCTAATCCCAGCATTCAGGAGGCTGAGGCAGGAGGATTGCAAGCTCGAGACCAGCCTGGGCTACAAAGTGAGCCCAAGGCCAGCCTGAACTACATAGTGAGACCTTGTCTCAAAAAGACAAAAAAAAGTACGAGTGAAGACTCAGGACTACATAAAACTAATATTGTGAACAAAATGGCACTGGATAATGATGTGGCTGCTCTCAATCAGTATGTTCTCCTTCAACCCTAACTGGCAAGCTTCACTGAGGTCCAGCCATTTGGCTTCACTGAGCCTTAGATTATTTAAGTTCTGAGATGATATGATTTGATTCATTTGAAATGGCAAACATTAGGTGTCTTTTTGAGGGAAAGAGGTTGGGGACAGGGTCTCAGTATGTAGTACAGGCTGGGCTTGAACTCACTATGTAGCCCAGACTGGCCTCAAACATGAATCAGTCCTCTGCTCCAGCCACCTGAGTGCTGGCATTAAGGCATTCATCACCATACCCAGCTGATTTCCTTGAGTGGAGTCAAGAGTTTTCAAAGTCATGGTTTAGATTATCAAACATGAAAATCCTATCACAAAGCAATACAGAGAAATGGGGAAAACTGAAATGAGGGTTTCTGTTTGTAGTCCACTCATGCCAAGAAGCAATTACTCAGACAACTACGTGTGTAGAATTGTCTGGTAATATTGTACCATGTATCGAGGCTCTCATTACTCAAATACCTTTGTCTGAAGGAGCAACAGGGGCATCTACAGCAGAAAAAACGGAAAGTTTGGCTTCATCGATATCCTGCTGTGTGAAGTCTCCAGATTTAGCCCAGTTGACAGCCTTCTCAAAAGACTGAAGTGTTTCTATTGAATTTGGATCCCTAGGAAACCCAAAGAGTTTAATATTCAATTATTTTACCAGGGGACAAACAGTAGTAAGTATCAACAGTTTTTCAACAGTTTTTTAATGGATCTATTTTAACACTCCATACTCCAAAAAGCTCACTAGCAGAACCAATTACTCTGTGTAGAGATTTCTCACCACAGAAATCTCTCAACAGTTTCCTCTATTTAGTGACATGGCTTATCTGCCCAGCTTCATCACTAGATTACTTAAGTACATGCTTCTATGGTTCTCCTCAGGAGAGGACACCACATGGATGGCAGAAAATACAGCACAAAAATGGAATTACGGGAGACTCCTGGGAAAGGGGAAGGTTAAACTAAAACCCTCACTTCCATAAAATATATTCAGAATAGTCTAGAGATTACTCCTTTGTGGGGCCAGTTTGTAAGAAAACCCTCCTGCCTCTTTCTACACACTGACACAGGGTTGAAGACAATTTCTCAGGGAATGGAAGTGAGGCCTTCTGTTGTTTTGTCCACTTTGTTTTGTCTAATCATGGCTCCCTTGACAGATACAGTCAGGAGTATGACAGAACTCAAGGCAGCCGGCACATGGGGAACCCACTCAAAAGTGGCAATAAACAGCTCACCCTTGGGTCTTAGGACACATGTCTTCAGGCAGGAGGGCCTCAGAAAATTAAGAATTATAGAGCCAATGACTAAAGTGAGATGATATGTGTACATTCACATGTGAAACAGTGAAAATAACAACTCACCTGTAAGAGTAAAATGTGAACATTCCATTATAGCCAAATTTAGCACCTCCACCATAAGCACCCCCTTTTTCTCGAATTTCTGTATGCAAGAACTTGGTAGTCATCAAACGGGCAAGAATCTTAAGACTGAAATTAAGGATTAAAAAGTAAAGGTAAAAACAACATGGCTAATAGGAAGAATTTCATATAATACAAAGTAACTAAAGAGACGCGAGAATATAGTTAAGAGAAAACAAAAATCAAGTTGTAAAGTACCACAGTTTCTACATTTATGGATTCAAGCACAAATCACAGAAATTTTTTAAAAACAGTTTCTGTCCTTATTTCCTCAATAATATAGAGTAGTAACTATTTGTGCAGTATTAAAACTATAAATCTAAACGTGATTTGAAGTGGATTGGAGGAGGGTCTGAACAAGTACCACACTATTTTTACACAAAGGATGTAAGCATCTGCAGGTTTGGTATCCTTACAGTCCCAGGTCTGATCCCCCAAGGGTACAGAAAGATAACTGTATGCACCTCCCTCCCCTCCCCTACATTCTTCTATAATGAATAAAAACAAAATAAGAATGTGAGAAACAACCATTTTCTGACTGGATGATAGGGCTTGGACAGAAGGGATGGTAGAAAGAGAATATCAAATTTTCCTCAAAATACCTCTATGAATCTTAACTGGTTACCATACACCTGCGGCATTTTTTAAATATGATAAAGTAAAAGAGGTTATTTTTAATGTGAAGGTAAATGTATACACAATCATTTATTTAGATGGCCCACAGCAGATATCTAGGATAAGTTTTTATAGGCATTATTCTCTACAAACACACATATAGTATATTCAAATAAAGCAATTTCTAGTATTACAGCCTATTTTCCTGCTGTCTTCAAATGTGAATGTGTAACAGCTGATCCTCTGGAAAAAAGATGGTTCTAGAAAGCACATTAATGTGGCTGAGGATCAAACAGAGCCCTATCTTGACACCATGGACAATGAGCCATGACCCTGAAGGCTTTAGCCAGACCAAAGGTCCGTTAATTCCTCCTGGAGGGAGACTCAGTCCCTGATCCCCACTACCATCCACTTTTCCACAAGATGAAGAGGCTACAATAAGCCAGGTGAGAAATCAAATAAAGGAACGAACACAAGCCTATTCCTACGACTGTGCTGGGCAAAGTCATGGTGCTCTCTTCCTAGTCTTTCAGGACAAGTCCAACATGCAAGGGGCCGATGACCATGACAGGCTGGGGCTCTGTCCCCCAACTGGCAACTAGTAGGCCTAGAACAGCCAAACCTGGAGAAAGGAGCCCTCACACTTGCACTAAGGACTGTAATTTTATCCATCTAGGCATTATTTTTCTTAAAAAATTTTCTGTTAATTTTATACAATACAAAGAATGCACATTTATTATTGAAAAACATTAAAGGAGAAAAGATCTGTAATTCCATATCCAAAGATAAACCCTTATAATACTTTCATGCTTTAAATCTGTATTTTCCTACAGAATAGTAGAAATGGATATGGGTTTGTTTTTTTTGTTTTTGTTTTTGTTTTTTGGTCTTTTTGAGACAGAGACTTGCTGTGCAGATCAGGCTGGCCTTGGGCTCGCTTTGTAGCCCAGGCTGGTCTCAAACTTGCAATGATTCCCCCTGCCTCAGCCACTGCCATGTGCCACCACGCCCAGCACATATCACCATTCTTGATGGCACAGCATAAAGGAATGTTTATTTTCTACATATAGGATAAACCAATATGATAATTAAGCCACATTTTAAGGTATTTTGCTACCTACAACTGCCTCTCTCTACCACTACTCCGCCCCCAGCTTCTTAGCTCCTGTGCTCTCTAGTTCTTCACACCCCCATCCAGGGCACCCCAGCCTCCTATCAATCTGGCCACTCAACCCAGGGTCTCTCTCAGTTTGAATTACGTAGGCAGAAGAGGCAGTCTGACTGCTCCACAGAGGAACTTAGAACCAGCCTCCCATTTGTAGCCTCACCACTTAACATGCTTTCAGAGACATGTCTGTCTCCATCCCTGTCATCTCAGGCTGTGCAGGACAGTTTGGCTCTCTCCTTGCTGCTCTCTGTCTCCACGCCCCTCCACCATACCACGCCTTTCTTTTTCCCTTGTGGCTCTGCGATCTGCTCATGTCTTTAATGACACCATAAGGTTACTGGAGGATTCAGATGCAAGCACACAGGTTTGATCTCCACATGTACCAGAAGGTCTCAAGCCTCAGTGAATGCAATTTGCAACCTACAGATAACAAGAGCAAGTTGGGTATTTGGAAAGGAGATGCTGTTTAGGTTCACTGGTATCTGTGTTGTTTCCAAAACTGCTTCAGGGATATATACAAGTCACGATGTTGAGCATTTTGTCCAGAAAGGTTTTGTTGTTTACAGACTAGTTAGAATATACTTTAAATTGTCTCCATAGAACCCTCTTGCTGACTAGGTTCAGCTTGAATAGTCAGTGACAGATTAAAATCATCTGGCAGAGAGCCCAACAAAGTTATTACAGCTCGTGGGGTCATGCCTGTAATCCTAGCACTCGGGAGGGTGAGGCAGGAGGACTTCTATGAGTTCCAGGCCAGCCTGGCCTACAAAGTGAGTTCAAGAACAGCCTGAACTTCAGAGCAAGACTGTCTCAAACAGACCGAAAAAAAAAAAAAAGTTACTAGGAAAACTTTCTGTGATAAAAAAAACATGCCTCTCTACTTTCTATCACACTGAACAAACTCACGTCTTACCTGGCATGGTCTGGATGTGTGTAGGGGACAGTTCTGACACATTTACCAATAAAATTCACCGGGAAAGGCATCAGCAGATGTGTCTTCATTTGCCAAGGTTTGAAAGTGGGCTCCTGAGGGACAAAGGCACATGAGTGAGGCCAGACTTACAGACCACAAGTGCTAAAACATAAGTAGTATGACACTGCTTTCTGTGGAAACCACTAACTAGGCACTCCTTGTTTAAAAGCAAGGCTTTATGTCATTCCATATAATATTTAACTTCAAAATGGACACAAAAGATTCCGAAGGTAAAGTGATTATTAAACATCTCCACCATGTGCAAATAAATTCTCTGGGAACATGTTAAAGTGCCACACACTGTGATGAACCAGGGCAAATGGTACCATTAGGAAAGCTGAGTAAGGAGAAAGGGATGCCACTGCTTGCCTGGAGGTGGACTGACAGGATTCAAGCCACTTTAACATGGAAGTTAACTGCAAGGTAAGGTGGCCACGTGGAGTAACAAGTATCCATCCTCCTCAGCATAAGGCCAGCAACAGGCCCTCACTCGGCATTGTGTCAGAGAAAAGACTCAGGGTGGCAGTGACAAGACACAATAACTCTTCATTCTAAGAACATGACTTTGCCCCAAGAACAGCTCAGACACACAGCACAAAGCAAGGGGTACGGGTCACTCTGAAGCAGGTGTACCACAGTCACTTACTGTGATCAGCTTTCTTATCATCTGGGAGCCATTGGTGCCAGAGCCACTGGGTATGGGTTTCTGAAATTCAGTGTTTCCAAGAGAAATGAGAAAAGTGCAAAGCTCACTTGAATAAGATTACAAAGTATGAATTTTATAAAAGTCACAAAGCTAATGACAAGGATTAGGGCAGATCTGCTTAACTGTTTTAAATAACAAGACATTAAAGGTATTAAAGCAGTGAAATTTTCTTAGATTTTTCAAGGAGTCAACGAAAGAGGTGCTAGTAATATATTTCACAAAGAAAAATGTTTTAAACTCTCCTTCTCTTGCACTTTCTAGTCAGAAAACTGCATCCAGAATGAAGAGGCCATCTCCTGAAGGCCTCTAGTTTACACAAAGGTTAACAGACTGAGGAGACAGGGGAGACCATCCATGAATGGAAGAAGAACATGTGAACAGCAACAGAGAAAACGACAGTAATTCCTGCAAAACCTGCAAACCGTCAACATTCTCCACTGAGAATTAAGGCTTCTCTGCTGATGCTGTGAATCAGACTATTTTCAATTTTGTAAATTGATTTAATTATTAATAACTTATTGTTTCAGTGAAAAATTAAGAATTAGTGAATCACAATGAAAAGGATTTTCCCATCTATGTCTTCCAAAACCTAACAAACAGCAAGAAATTTCAACATCAGATCACCGTTTTGGGCTATTTTCATCCTACCATATCCCAAACTGAAGTCTGTTTTCTCTTAGGAGACCACTCATCAAAAGGCATAAGTAACAATAAATGAGCACTGGTCTAAGACTAAACTATAGGGTTTGAATTCACTTCTTAACTAGCCCAGTTCTAGAAAAGTTACTTAATCCTCTGGTACCTAAAATTCCTCATGTATGTAATGGTGTACTAATACCTCCACAGTGGATGGTTTTGAGAATTATATAAACATGTGAAAAAAAGGAACTACACCTCATGACTGCAGTGCTCAATGTTAATCAGCTCAGTAAGCAGTGTTACCTCAACCACATGTGGGCGGACAGGTTTCCGTTCCTTCTTACTTCCATGAATGTTTCTAATGAAGTTTTCTACCTCTTTTTCTGCCTGAGACATCTGGTGAGGAGTAGCATTCACTGAACATCTGCTTAAATAATCATAGTTAATTAAACCATTATGACAAAAAATTAAACACTACTAATTCATCACATTTTGTAGAGATAACACAGGAAGTAAATAACATATTTCTTTGTATAAAATGATATTTGAAAAGTTAAAAAGAAATGGAATCCAACTATGGAAATATGCAGCTGTCTTATTTCTCAGTGTGTTCGAATTATGAAAGACATCACATATTTCAAAGTGTTATAGTTAATGTACAGCCCTTAAAATGTAAAGATAGTGCTTCTGCCTCTAAATTCTGTGTTATTCTTAAGGGCACAGAAAATAAAGAGCATACTAAGATCTGCCAACACAATTTCTTAGTTTACTCCAAGATCTGAAGCCTAGAACTATTTCTGTAACACCAAAGTCAATGAAAGTACTGTATCTAAAAGCTAGTTAACAAATCAGAATGAATCATAAGATCTTTGTTTAGAAACAAATCATGAACCCACCTCAAATTATCACATCTTAATAGATGTTTCTTGATCCGTGGGAACATTTTCAGGACTGGTGTGATGTCTGTCATTTCTGCAATTCTCTTCATCAACCTCACCTGAACCAATGGAATCAAACACACAGAGATCAAGATTACAGATTCCTTCATCCTGAAAAACAAGCATCTCAATAAAAGAAGTTTGCTTAAACAAGAAACATGATCTGATTTTGCACTGATGTGTTGTAGAAGTCAGCATAGGGAGAAGTAGTATTGGTGCAGTAGTACAAAGAAGAATTATTTCTTCTCATGAAATTTGGTCAGTTAGAAAATGAGTTCTTGGGGCTGGGGATTTAGCTCAGCAGCACAAGCGTCTGCCCTGCAAGCAGGCAGTCGTGAGTTCATCCCTGGTACCGATAAAAAGGAAAAAGACAAAAAAAAAAAAAAAAAAAGAAAATGAGTTCTTCTGACAGAAATAACATCACCAGAGAACAGGAGCAACTCTGGATGTTCCAGTTAAACCGGAACAGCATGCCTTCCTAATCTCACCTGATCCATCCCACCAAACGTCTCAGCTAAGTCCCCCGCAGGTGTGAGTGTCTTGCTTGCTCTAAGGGACGCGTAGACATGCCCAGAGTCCGGAATCCCGTTTGACAGCTCCTGCGCAGTCATCTTAACTAACACTCTGAAGTGTTCTTCTTCATCGAAGGATGGGCTATGGGAGAAGAAAAATATAATAAATTCCTGGACACCTAACCATGGCCCCTTCCATATTACAATTTATTGCATCTAAGTTTTTAGACTATTTCAACATCCTTAGACATTTTACAAGTCCACAGGAATTACAAAAAATCAGACTAGGAACCAACAAGCAACAAGTGAGTAAACTCTCCTACTTTGAAAACATTTCAGAGCACCTCAGAACTAGATGTCTGATTCATCCCAACTATAAACCTCTTTGGTAAACAAAATTACTGGTTAAATATTTCAGTCCACAGATGCATCATGTCAGGTAGGTTTCGATCCAGGCAGAGAGATGAAAAAAGTACGCCCTAAATCATGAAAGGAAATACAAAAGCAAAAAATTAATGATGGTATCATTTGAAACAAACAACAACAACAACAAAAATACTAGAAACAAACCTTCCACTATAGCTATGGTCTAGAAATAAAAAGCTACCTGCTCATAGGTGTCCAGATGGGACTCGTCAGGAAGCACTTGGGGAGAAACGGTCATGCCTCCTGTCTTCAGTTCTATTTGCTGAGCTTGTTCGCTATAGTTAAGGTTGCCACAGCCCAGCCTGACAGAGCAAAGAAATATTTCCTGAATTACCACGGCAATCTGTATCATATCATTTTTAAAACTGCATCATGAATTACAAGTTATTTACTAAGGACTACATATATACATATGTGTATTTATTAACTATGTTTCAAAATTTTTATATACTTCGAAGGTTACAGAGTGTGAATCCCTTTTGGCACTGACACCCTACACACTGCTCCTGTGCCCTCTCTACAGGAAGCCATTCTCATCTGGTCCCACTTCCAGGCCATAGATACTTAGGCAGCCAGTGTCCCGCACTACAAATAAAATTCTAACTACCCTTTACAGCCCTAAATTTGTAAATGCTTTGTGAGTGTTCTCTATTTTCTACTTCCAAGATATTCTGACACATACTTCATTCACTGAAGTACATGGTATACCTTGGGTGGGGAAAGGGATCTAAAAAATAAGCCTTTATAAATTCTTAAGAAAAGCAAAATTCCTCTCAGCATCAATGTTTCTGGAAGAAACATTCTCACTAAAGCTCCTAACATAAGAAATAATCTGACAACTGTGAAGTATTCTCCACAACTGCTATCAAAGGACAAGCAGTGGCAGTTATGAGGGGAAAACAGGCATGAACTTTCCAAAGACGAAGGACATGTTCCTTCCTATCCGCTCCTCAGCCAGGGCACAGGCCTACAGGCTCCTAGCCCCCAACTGCCAGCATCCTCACCTCACACAGTACAGCAGGCTCTGCCTCACGTACTTCAAAGGCATGTGCTCCTCTGCCCTCCTGGAACAGGTAAAGTCTACAGCTCCGACTACCATTTATCCTGCCACCTCAGCCCCTGACACTAAGCAGAGAAGGGACACACACTGAATGAAAATTCAGGCAAGTAAGTATTTGTGCTACTTAAGGGAAACAACAGCACCTACAAAGTTAGCAGAGACAAACTAGAGCAGGGTCCCCACGCCACCAAGACAACCAAAGCCTACACAAGTGAAGTGCTTACATCTCCTGACTGAACAATTATTCCTTTTCAAAATCTTTTTTTTTTTTTAATTTTTTTTTTTTTGTCTTTTTCCTTTTTATCGGTACCAGAGATCGAACTCACGACTGCCTGCTTGCAAGGCAGGCGCTTATGCCGCTGAGCTAAATCCCCAGCCTCCTTTTCAAAATCTTAACAGATCAATATTTGCCCCAGTTGTATCTGTGTTACTTAACTCCCAAGATTCAGAAATATTTTAATGTGATGCATTAAGAGTAAGAAAACGTAATTTCCATAGGAAACAAATTCCAAACAAATATATGGTACACTTACATACTGTAACAACACTAAGTTTTGAAAGTAAAATAACTAGTGAAAGGTGACTAATACTGATACATTAAAACAAAGTATACATGTGTGTGTTTGTATACATATATATACTGTGCACAGAACATATATATTAGTAACATCTAAAGCTGTGTTGAACCACATAGCTGAGTATCTGTTCCAGATCTAAGGATCTCACTTGGTAACGACACTGCAGAAGAGAGGCACGTAGGGCTTCAGCTCCTCAGAAAGCGTGTTTAAATTAGAAAAGGCTCGGAAATATACCATGCCATTTGTGGGCTGGGCACAGTACTGCACAGGGATTTCTCCAGCTAGAAAAACAAATGCAAATCATTTTTTAATCAATAGATTTTACATCATTTTAATATTTAAGAAATAATGCTAATGCTTTTCAAGAATGGAGGTTTAACTCTTATTAACCAAAAAATACTATTCTCTTGCCATACAGCTTATATAAGTTTCTCTACCGTACTTTAATTTTGATAAAAAATGGACACAATAAAAATGTTATCCTTGCTTTTTGAAGAACAAGAATGAAAGAATAATGATATTCTTCTAGTTTCATAACTGATTTAACAGCATTTTTTATTCTAAATTCTCCCCATACCCACCTCACCTACATTTACTCAAACTCTGGTTTATTTGGGGGGGTGGGGTACACCAGGAATCAAATACAGGACCTTGTGCCTGCCAGTCAGGCACTGTACCGCTGAGCTACACTCTCGGCCTGTAAACCCCATTTTAATCACTATGGACCTGACCAGGCCATTCCCACATGTGACCTTGCTGTGTTGCTGACCCTTAAGGCCACTCATCTCCCGCAGTGGGTCCTAGCTGCCTGTCAGACATACAGCTTACTACCTCATTTTCCACAGGGCCCCTTGCAGCCCTCAGCACAACAGTCTCTAAGCTCTTTGAACCTTACGATCTCAGGGCATCTTTAAGTCTCTTGAGGGCTGCTAGAGATACTACGGATTCTATTTTGTGTATCACTACCTCCAGCACTCTAACCCAGAACGGGGACTGAAGCATTTGTTGATTACTGATTTATCTCCACTAATTATTTTAATGAACACTTAATGCTATTCACAAATGAATAAAAAATGTAGGTGATTTAAGATTAGCGAGAGCGGGGCTGGGGATTTAGCTCAGCGGCATAAGCGCCTGCCTTGTAAGCAGGCAGTCGTGAGTTCGATCCCTGGTACCGATAAAAATGAAAAAGACCAAAAAAAAAAAAAAAAAAAAAAAAGATTAGCGAGAGCAAGGCATGAGAGGGCACACACCTACAGTCCCAACACTTTGGGGAGGCTGAAGCAGGAAGGTGGTCAGGTCTATGCCATGCCTGGGCAACTTGGCAAGACTGTCTCAAAAATTAAAAATAAAAGGGCTGGGAATGTGGCTCAGTATAAAATGCTAGTTTTGATCCTCAGTACAGAAAACAAACAAGCAAACAAAAAATAGTTAATCCCAATTTCCAAAAGAATTTTCTCATTTCACTCATGTACACATGAATGTATATGTATATGTACACGCACATTCCTGCATGCATACACAAACATATACAAATAGACATATTAGACAGGACAACACTGTTAAAAAATAAAAGGCTAGCTAGAGATGCTTCAGAAGCTGCAATCTAAAGTCCTGTCCTAATGATATACGTCAAAGTGTATGTAACACTGCTTAGATCAACAGCCCAACTGTACCCTCTGGAAGCTCAACACCAACACTTTCCAGGGCGGTGTTATTCCAGAACCATGTATCTCTTACGCTACCAATCAAAACCCGAAGTAAAATTAAGCAATTTTGAGAATTTCAAAGTAGCAACAGACTATAGAACAAAATACAGGGAAGAGACATCAGGCTAAAAGCAGCCAGTGGCTCCCTTAACAATTCTGTCATCCACAACTCATCAATATCTTAACTATGTGAGGCACATCTTCTGTCCCATAATGACAGCTGAGTTACTTTGGGCAAGAATGCACAGGAAATATCAGCCTTTAAAAAACTGTTTAACACAGCTGCAGCACAATCTAAAATACTCATCTGGCTCTCAAAGCAGCAAGTTTCAGAGCCACATCAAGTTCACTCACATGAAAAAAAAAGCCAGGTTCTCACCAGGTAAAGAAGTCTATCGACATCAAAGGCTAAAAACAATTTATAAGATACACATGAACTGAGATGATAACGATGCTCATATGTTTTACAAAAAACATGTAAATGCAACTCTACTTCTCTGCGTAAACTGATGTTTAACTTAGCCAAGGAACCCAGACACCCATGAAAATGAATGCTAACTGACCTGCCAAGGACACCTCCAACTCAGTGAAAGGAATGGTGGGCTCAATGTCCGAGACTTTTAATGCTGGGAGACAGGAGGCATCTTGAGGTTTACTTTGCTGGTCGCGTAACTGTAAACCTTAAAAAAAAAAAAAGGAAAATGAACACATTGGGCTATAATTAAAAGATCTTATACAACTTTTCTCCTCTTTGAGGTCAAGATTACATTACAATTATAAGATTATACTGAAAATTCACCACCCAAGCCATGTACTAAGCAAATACTGACTACTGTCATTTCCCAGCACCCCAAGTTAGAGGAATTCACAGCTTCTCAGCAGGGGTTCTTTCTCTAATTCTCAGTCCTCAGTTACTCAGAAGAATTTTGTCTGGGAAAGGCATTTTGCCCAACTTCCCCCCTGCTCCTCAAAATTTTATATCCGACAGCCCAAATTTGTTTTCAGAGTTTTCAAACCACTCCTTGCTGAACTGAAATTTAATGACTTTTGTACTTGTGTTATTTCATTTTCATTTAATTTAAGTGTGTCACCACATAAATTTCACAAATTACAGCAAGGTTTTTACAAACACTTCCTAGCCTGGCTGTTCCATTCATCCAGTCAGAGGGAAGAAGGTCCTCGCTCAGGGAATTACTCCCCAGAACCACACAGTCTATTAGAAGAGACAATTTAAAAGGATGTGTGTGTGTGTGTGTGTGTGTGTGTGTGTGTGTGTGTGTGTTTTCCAGGAAAACCTAAATGATGCTTGTATAAAAAGATTTCATGGCTTAAATTTCCATCACACAAACCCATAAATTCATTAGTTCACAGAAATGGTTCACAGGGAAAAGCTATGCCAAGAGGTTACTTTAACTTCAGGCAGGCCACAAATCTGAATACCCCTGCTTTCTGCTGGACTGACTTTAAAAGGAAGAGCATTCAGTTGCTACAGGGGAAAGAACCACTGCTTATGATGACTGCTGTTCCACAGCATGGTCCTGAAGAGCAGGGAGCTGAGGCAGGTTCAGCATTTACTTTATTTTGGGTACACATACTACATCAGATGCTTACCAAGCCGCTTAGTCTCAGTACACCTAGTGGACTGCTGGGTGACCACATGCTCTCATAGCAGAGTAGGAAACCACCCCAGAAAGTTCCCTCACGTCCCTCTGCAGCGAACCCACCTATTATACCTGGCCTCACGCAACTACTACCATTTCTGGGGCTTTGAATAAAATAAAATACATTCTTCTGTGCTTGGCTTATTTCATTTTGTTATAATGCTTTTGAAATTTATCAGTGTTGAGTGTACCATTATTTTGTTCTCTTCTATGGTTAAGCAGTATTGGGGAAGTTAGAAATAAATGTTTGTGAACTCTGGGTGGTTTCAAGTTTTGTGTAGATATGTTTTGATTTCTTATGGGTCACAGTCAATGTAGGACAGCTGGCCTTTATGTTAAGTACATGTTTGGCACAGTCAGAAATCATAAAACTACTTTTCTGAGTGGCGGAACCATTCTCCTTTTCCATCAGCAACTCACAAGAGTTCTTATTGCTTTACATAATTGATTGCATCTGGTATTTTCAGTATTTTTTTATTTAAGCTATTGAAGTAGGTGTTAATTTGCACTTGTCTAATAATTAATGCATTTTCCTAAGAAAATAAGGCGATTACTTCTCATATGATAATAATTTGTGTTTACTTTCTGTAAATATATCTTTTTTAGTAATATTTCTGTCAAAATCTTTTGCCCATTTTTTAAGCTGTACAGTCTCACTGAATTGCTTAAATGTTTAATATATTCTGGCTACATTTGCAAATGTTATTAAATATACAGTTAATGTTTTCTTGCGGAGGCCAGATTGTTTTTAATTAAATTTAATTTAAATTTCTCCATTCTTTTTGCCACATCCTTTTCCTAAAACCTTGTTAAATCTACCAGCATCTACAAAATCTCTTAAATGTGACTTTCTCTTCATTCCCATAACAACTATTTTAGCTTCATGTGTAAACTCGTATCACATCATATCATAGGATGTGTAGGTATCTAATTGCCTCTCAACAGTTTATTCTAATGTTTGCCTCCTCAGAATTATCCTGAGTGATACTACCATTATGTTGTTCACTAACTCCCTAATTCTTGTGACTTAGTAAATGAGGTAGATACACACTCACCAGTCTTCCAGTCCAGTTCTCCCTCAAGCTGGTCCCCCCTTGGCCTCTCTTTCCTGTATCAGACCCCTACACTTTCCTGTACCATATGTCATCTATGCCGTCCTCTCTTCTGTCTTTACCAGACACAGTCTGCAAACATCCTGCTACATGACATGGCTAGGTCATGTCCTTTACCTCCTCACTGGAACTTGCATCACTGAAAACATAACTTATACTGCTTATATTATCTGTCTAGCAATTAACTAAATACTGCTATATAGCATAATTTCTTACCATGTTATAGTGAGTATATGGAAAGTATTTATAAAATCTATAAAATGAAAGTATTTATAAAATCAGTAAAATTAAATTTCATAACATTACTTCTTTTAGTTATTCCTGCCTTTCCAGATGAACTACAATATGATTTTTCTAATAGGGTCAAATCTCATAGTTGAACCCACTGCACCAAAAATGAACTCTGTACATACCCAATGAATATCAGTTGTCTGAACTAAGACTTGCCTTCAACTATTAATCAGCTAAAAAGTTAACTAGTGAGCAGTAGGGAATTATTATGAATTAAATTAAATTTCTGACCTTTTTCATAGATCCGTTGCTTATCTTCCTGGGAGAGAGAATTGATCTTTCGGTCTAGTTTTTCTGTCTCCATTTGAGATTGTTTCTCATAATACTTGTCATCTGGCTTCATTGATAAAGTCAGCTTATGCTGATTATTCTGCAATAACACAGGAACCAAAAAAAGTAAGACTTTATTAAAGCCACATACAAAATCAGCTGCTAGGGATGTGTTCTTGATGTTGTAGTTTCATTTAAACATTTTTAACACAATAATAAACTTACCTCAAGGGCTGTTTTTCAGATTAAAATATAAGCTATGAAGCCATGAAAAATCCTTACAATCATACCTGCTACACAGTAAGTATATATAATTCATATATGTTGCTTTACTTTTATTAGAATTACAATTATTTAGTCATCATGTCTTACCATAAATTTATCAATAGTCAACATTTTCTTTAATCTTGACCCCTTTTAATATAAATCTTTAGTTTTAGTAAACTAAAGATAACAGAATTTGGGGTTGGGGATTTAACTTGGTGGCTTATGGGCCTGCCTTGTAAATGTGCAATCATGAGTTCGATCCCCAGTACCAAAAAAAAATTACAAAAAAAGATAACAGAATTATATATATTTTTTGGTACTGGGAATTGAACCACTGACCTTGCACTTGCCTAGCAGGCACTTAGGCCTCTGAGCTAAACTCCTAGCCCAAGATAACAGAATTCTAAATTATTTGTCATATTATCAACTTCTAAAAGGTTGAAACTAAAATTTTTATTTAATATTTTGTAAATTATTAGAACAAAATAGATGTTGATCTAATGTACGAATAACTGTTAGGTGATTTAACTTCTTTTATTTATTTCAACAACTAAACAAACACATGCACAAAATGCTTACTTGTGACACTACAGAAAAGTAGGCAAATTAGACAAAAACAAATACTATAGAAGCTGTAGGTTAAATCACTAAATCATGTTCCATGTACAAAATAATGGCATATTTTTAAAACAGGTAATGTGATTTGCCAGCAATACCTTTACAAGAATTCTACCTTTTTAATGACTATATAACAGGAAGTATTGCATCCAAGCACCATACCTAGATGGCTAAGAAAACAAGTGAACAAGCATCAAAACAATTCAATCATATAAAAAAAATGCATGCATATATTCACAAAAAACCAATTACCAGCTTATATCACACTGTGAAAAACAGAAGTCATTAATACAAAATTTAAATTTTTAGTTAGAAATTTAAACTGAATACAGCATGCCTGTAATTCCAGTACTTGGGGGGCTGAAGCAGTAGCATTGCCTTGAGTTTGAGGCCAGCCTGGGCAACATAGAAATAACCTGTCTCAAAAAAAAAAAAAAAAAAAAAGGAAATTTAAGCTCCAGGTGTCATGGCACAAACGCTCTGGAATGCCGAGGCAAGACGAAGCAGGAATGTCACAAACTTGAGTACAGACTGGGTAACTTAGTAAGACTGCCTCAAAATAAAAAAATTTAAAGAGCTGAGGGTATAGCTTAGGGTAAAGGCCCTAGGTATAGCCTCAATAATATGCAAAACAAAAACTCAATTTTTTAAAAAATTATTTCATCCATTTATTAATTAAAATTGATTTACATAAAGTTCCTAACATTACTTTCAAATAATTTAAAACCCAACTTCAAAGTTGACAAAAATGCTCCAAAATTTTCTTACCTTAAAGTACTGTTTCACTTTTTCTTGTAAAAACCCTGGATTTTCCTTAAGACACTGCCTGAATTTAGTTAACTGACTTCCCATCTTCAAGAGCTCCACAGGGTCCCCATCGTGATTCCAGCAAGAAGCTATGTACTAGAAACAAGAACTTTAAACCCTTAATGCATCTTACATCACAAAACACTGTGCTACCCCCTAAATACTGTATTATTCTAGTAACTATCAGAGGCATGATATTTTATTAAAATTAGAGATTCTGCCAGGTATAGTGGCACATACTTATTGTCCCAGCACTCAGGAGGATGAGGCAGGAGGATCACTGTGAGTTTAAGGCCAGCGTGGGCTACATTGTCAGTTCAAGACCAGCCTAAACTACAATGGCCAGATCCCTTCTTTAAAAAAAAAAAAAAAAATCCAAAGATCTCAGATTCTATCTTTTAATACACTATAAACAATTATGTATTAAAAATTAAGTCAGTGTTCAGTTGGAAGAAAAGATTCATTTTAATCCTACTTTGTTTCAATAAAGAGCACAAGTGTAGGGCCGGGGATTTAGTTCAGCAGTATAAGTGCCTGCGTGGCAAGTATGAGATCATGAGTTCACTCCCCGGTACCAAAAAAAAGCACAAATTTAAACTGTTTCCAGAAAATATAATTACCAACAGATTACTAGTTATCATAAGTCTCTATCCATTTATTCTGTATAAACCTATTTCACATAAAAATGTAATCTATCAAAAGACAAAAATATATTACAAAAGTAAATTTATATCTGATCCAAAATAGTATAACTCTCATGGTTCAAATGAAAAGCACCACCACTACCAATCTATATTTTTAGTGCTGCTAACACCCACTTATTGCAAAAGTAAAAGCAAATCCAAAACCAAGGAGATTAAGAAGACACATACTGATGTCAGGGCAAGTCCAAAGTTGGTAGTCTGATGCTTCATTTGTATTTCAATTTTATGAAGTAAAGCTTCTATTTGTTCATTTTCAAATCCTTTCCTAAAGAATATAATTTATAACTGAGATGTTGAAAAGAAATAAAACATTTTAGACAGACAAGGTAGCACGGATAATACTTACACAACTAAATATGAACTAGTAGCTGTTCCACTACAGACAGAGCAACTACACAAAGATTTCTGAGTCTTTTCCCCACAAAAGACCTATCAATGAAGGATGAAAGCAAACCAGGACAAAGGAGCCACACTTACTCAACTACTTCATCAATTGTTCTGTCTACAAGGTCTCTGACAGTCTGAACATCTTTCTCAGCAATCCCCTGGAGGCCAACACTGAAGTAGGCCTCACGGGTGTTACCATTATATCTATAAAACAAAACAGATAATGCATTAGAATCTATGCACATTTACCATTCACCTGTGAAAACTCTGAAGGGCAGGTAGTAGAATGGGGAAAAAAAAGAAACAAGTTCTATCAGGTACAGGCACAAATTTCTTATGATCTTATGATCATATGATCATTGGTATACCTGAAATGTACCAATAAACTTAAATTTTAAAAAAAGATCAGAACTACATAAGAACTTTAAATGCCAAATACTGACTTCTCAGATGTAATAAAGAAAAAGTACATTCGTGTACTTTTAAATACTTCTAAATATTAATACACAATTTCTTACAGCAAAACAAATTCAGAAATCAAGAACTGCTGAGTTTTATAAAAGCTTTAAGATTTCAAAGAATACTTCATGATGTGAACTTCTAAACAGTGAGCAGTATGACATTCCAAAAACTTGGGGAAGTTATTTTGGGTTTTTTTTTTCCTTCCAAAGGTCCCTGGAACTATAACTGTATTCAGTGCTCCTGGTGGAGGGTGAGCTACCTGAGTACTGGAGATACAATCAGTGAAATCTCTGGCCTCTACTCACTAGATCCCAACAGCATCCCCTACATTTATAACAATCAAAAATATCCCCAACATTCACAAGTGTCCCAAGAGGAGAGAGCAAAACTGCCCCCACTGGTAACTACGGATCTAATAAAACTTACCCAACATCGGGAGAAAAGTCTGTGCCAAGTCCAGATTCAATTAGGGCTTTATAAAAAGGGGAATTGGGCCCACTAATCAAGAGTGAAGACAGAAGATTTAATGTGAAGGCTTCAAATGTGTCAGTGATGCTTCATTGGAAAAAGATGAGGACAAAGGGAGAATCAGAATCATTGGCTGTTCTGTTTATGTCATTTAAAATCACTGCTAAAGAAAAACTTTTACTTCCAAACAAGCTGAAGTTCCACCAGCAATTCTTGCATTTTTAGTAATAATATGGACAAAAGAGACCTCTTTTTAACACACTGGGGGTTTTTTCACGAATTCGCATGTCCTTACATAAGGCATACACGCTAATCTCCTCTGTATCATTCCAATTTTAGTATATGTGCTGTCAAAGCAAGCACCAGAGTAGGTTTTTTTTAACCCAAACCATATATTGTAGTCTGACCATATATTGTGGTCCCATCAAATATTAATTCGTTGAAAGTGTGCCAAGTTCTTTCCCATACGTTTCAGTTATAGTTAAATGTCATTATCAACACATAAAGTAAACAAAAAACAAAAGATGAGGCACGTGACAAGTTGAAGGCACACAGCTCCCTCGTGGAAGCTAGAGCTCAGGTGGGACAGGGAGAAACCACATACCTTCTCTTCAAGTTCCAACCCAAGCACTATCAAGTCTAGAATTTCAGTTTCCTGAATAGTATATTTATCTGAGCCTACTGTTCATAATATTTATGTTACACTCAAAGGAACTTTTGACCACCAAAATGTTAACAATTGCTGTTCTAGGGCAATCTTTTCTCTAAAGAAATGGGGCTTTTAAAATATAAAAATGCAAAGGACTTTTCCTCTGGACTCCCTCATAACCATTTCATATGTAATTAAAACTGTGGACATTTTGTTCTCTATTCTTAAACCCAGCTTGATCCTATAGTCTTAACTGTATATTAATTTATACTCATTGTCAAATTCTCCTAACTTTCTAACTTATTTTCCTGCTGTTCTTTGGCATGTATGAACATTAATAAAACATACTTACTCTGGTAAGAGGAAGCTAACACTGATGGTTGTCTGTTTAGAGGCATCTGCAGTCAATGAATCAGGGCCACAAGTTATATGGAATTCCCTCTGTAAAATGACAGGATGCTTTAAGTAGACAGAGTCTGAATGGCTTTAAATTGCCACTGGGTATCCAGATACAGAAAATGATCCAAGATATGTTTTCACTAAGTTAACCTTTTTAGAAACAAATAACCATTCTTTGGTCTTGAAAAGCTCCTGTATACACTCCACAGCCCACAACATTTTAGAATCCTATTAATACACAGTTCATGTCCTCATTTTAGTGTATTTAACAGGATAAAAGCACAGTTAAAAACCGGATGGAACACTTACAGGCTCATGCCAGAGCTTCTGGGATGGCACCATGGTATTTGGTTCAATTTTCTGAAATTTACTCAGTGCCTCTTCATGTATTTGCTTCAGGTGCTGCTCTAATTCAAAATTCCCATAAGTGAAGAACCTAAAATTTTGAGAGAATATTATTAGTCTATTTTAATATAAATGATTAGAAAATCACAGTGATGGCTTTGTGCATGAAATGAATGATTTACAGTAAAGGGTCAATCCCCTCTATACTGAAAGGAACTTTATATATTTTGTTTTCATTTAGTTTAACAACAAATACCAAAAGGAAGCTTTTGCCATTTTATGAGATGAGAGGTTCTAACAAAATACAAATCGTACAAAATGACTTAATTAAATGCAAACCAAACAAAAATGGATTTTTGTCTTATTTTAAATCTGCTATACAAGTACTATAAAAATTAACATACTTGTTAAATAATACCATGCTATGGTAATACAGTAATCTATCTAAACAAACAAAAGTAAAGAATTTCCCTAGATTTGATTTTAGGTTACAAGTGTCAAATTATGTATGTTTTTAAGAGTTACTTAACCAGAGGAAAAGCTTACAAAACAGACTTGAGGACTGGGGATTTAGCTCAGCAGCACAGACATCTGCCTGACAAGCACAAGGTCATGAATTCGATCCCCAGTATCAAAAAAAAAAAAAAAAAAAAAGCAGAATTAATCTTTTTCTGCAGTATAAAGTTATCTGAGCTAAGGTTAAGATTTGAGGAGGTAACGTATTAAAGATCTTTTAAAAATTTTATACTCAAGGCATTTAGGAACAAATTTTACACTCAAGGGTTTAAGTCACCCAGTAGCAATGAACATCCCTGGCATTCAGACACTGGTCTCTCAATGCCTGTCCTACTTAATCACAGAGCTCAGTGGGAGATTAGCTGAAGATTCACAGCAGTAAGAGCCTGAGTATTTGTGGAGCTGGGGGTAGAAGAAAGGGGTAGAAACCAAACAACTCAACAAAGACGAAGAAACTATCAGAAAGGAACTACCATGGGCCACAGCAGGAACACTTTGAGAATCCCAACAGTAAATGGATTCCATTTGATCATACAACCTCAAATATATACATATATAAAAATATTTCCATGAGGTCACAGCGGTACTAAACAAACCAAAAACAAAGATGGCTGAAAGACAAGAAAAAGGAGAGGTACGAAAGAAGCCTCTTTTGTCATCATTGGAGGTAGCTAGTGCCATCATCTCTCCCACTACATTGGAAAAGAGAATTCCCTGCCTTTTCCTTCATGTTTCCTTTATGTTTTAGGGCATTCCAATAGACTCTGCTGATGAGGGGAGTTTCTATGCTAGTAAATGTACAAGTTACAGAATGAGAAAACTTCACAAACTCCAATAAAATAATTGATTCAGGCAACAATCATCAATAGGATAATAGGGTACTCAACCAATATTCCCAGGGTGCTAACATCTCCACTAATCAGATGGGCTATGATTATAGGGGGGAAAAGGACACTTCATAATGTGGGGGCTGGCTATCACCATCCTGACCTGCTGATTTTAGCTTTTCCACTACTGTCTGAATAGGCGTCACAGTGCCCAATGGGATGCAGTGGGCGACACACAGCATCACCTATGAAGGGTTCCACCTGACTCTAACCAAGTTCTCCTCCTTGAAAATTCAGGGACAAGTCAACCAACACTACAAACAGCCAGCCAGGCATGCTAGAAAGTGAAAAAGTCCAGAGAAAGCCTGCACTGATGGATCTCCCACTCTCCTCCACGTAGGATACTCATTTTGGTATTGAATGACAAAATGCCACCCATGAGCCTCATTTGGGTCGAACACACATTTCAGTGACAATGCAGTATTTTGAATATAGAATATGAAATAAATGGTTTTAACAAAGTTTGTTTTGTCAAATGCGAATTTAATAATTTTCTTATTAAAGAATCAAATGTGAATTTAAAATTTTTCTTATTATTTTAGGGTCACAAAGTTAGTGGTAAGCAAATCAAGTCTATAAATCACTTCAAAATTGTCAGTAAAGTATGTGACATGTGTATGGGGTTTCAAGATTCCAACCTACCTTTTTCTATGTGCTTAAGAATCTTCATATTTCAAAATTTTAATTTTTTACAAAACATAATTTGCAAGTATGATTTTACATTAGTACTTGATTTGATATCACTAATAATTTTATATACAAACAATTCATCTAAGTAAGTATTAAGATTCAATTACAACGTTGCACTATTTATAAAGACCCAAAAAAGCCAGCATCTCCTGATAATCCACCACGCCAGAAAATGGGGAACCAACTAAGAGAGCAACGATCCAGACTTCCTGATATGCAGCGCAAGCCCATTGGCGCACAGGTTGAGAATCAACTCACCCTCCCATCCCCACACACACTCTACTCCCCGCCTTTAGCAACAGGATGGTTCCGAGGACAGCCTGAGTTAATAGCAGCTAAGATATAAAGCAACTAAATTCTTGTATTGTTTGGTTGATTAGGCAGGTTTGGGGCCAGCAGTCTGAGAATCTCTTAAGAGGATGACAGTATGGAATATAGCAAATATGGCAGATTTCCTTCTATCATGTCTTTGAAGTCCAACACTGTTTTCACTGTTTTGCTTCATTCTGATTAACTGTTCTGCTTTATTTATTGTTTTGATAGGTTTTATAATGTTCTGTTTTTGGTTTGACTTTGCTATATCTGATAGAATGGACAACTATTGTGAAGATAACAAGATATACTAGGGTACCTATTACTGTTATCCTGTTATCCTGCTCTGAAGTTCTATATCAATTTTGCTGCACTGTCTTCATTGGCTTTGCTGTCTTGCTTTGTTGTATTTTACTATCTTCAACAGCAAAAAAAAAAAAAATTCTGCTATAAAGAGCCAAGAGCATATCCTAAAGCTTTACAAATACTGTGAAAATTGATCCTACAAGGTTGATGTCATCACAAGCATTTCCACTCTATATATACATCATAAAACCATGAAAAAGAAGCCAGGTCAATTTTTTTCTTTGTAACTGTTATCTCCTGAGACAAAGGAACAGAATCCAATTTTTATAATGCTTTTCCTCTTGCTACTCAAGATTTAATTATTGTGGGGCTGGGGATTTAGCTCAGCAGCATAAGCGCCTGCCTTGCAAGCAGGCAGTCTTGAGTTCGATCCCTGGTACCGATAAAAACGAAAAAGACAAAAAAAAAAAGATTTAATTATTGTACTCTCCTACTACATGATACATTATAACTCACAGACATCAGAAAGAAACAACCAGGCTTGAGGTTTGCTTTTAATAATTATATATTGGACTGTGAAGATAAATAACCTATAATTTGTAAATAAATAAATAAATAACCTATAATTTGTAAATGGGACCTTCCACCAAGGGTGCCACCAAAGGCTATTTCTATCCTTCATCTTCAGTTACAACTGACGGTTATCACTGTAATTAGTTAAAATAAGCATCCAAGTAAAGTAGATCAGCAAACCTAAGCAAAAAATCTTATCAAGATTTCTACATTTCTGAAGCAAACACTTATTTGCAAAATATTAAATAAGCCATGTCATTTAGTATAAGAATACAAGTAAGTCAATTCTTAACTCACCATTAAACTTTAAAAGCAAAATATTACCTAGCATTACTTGGGTGATAATGAGTAGCATGAAATTGTTTAAGCTGTTCCCATGTAAGCTCTGGGATGCACAGCGGGTCACCTCCAGAGATCACGGAGTAAGTATGGTCAGGAAGAAGTTTGTTCTGAAGGTTCTGTGAGAATATCCTTTCATTGTCTGTCTTGAAATTTAAAAGAAACAGAGAGAGAGAGAACGTAAAACATAGTCATGACACAACATGTGACTATGAAACATGGTGTTACAGCTTCTATCTAGTTGTCCCCTACAGCCAAATGTGGTCATAGGTGAGGCTTTTCAGAGTGGCTGGATCCAGGGTGAGTGATGCTGGGATTAAGATGTCCCACCCGGAGTGTAGGTGGCACCACTCAAAAGGTAGGTAGCCTGGAAGTAATAAAGGGCAGCTGCTGCTACTGCTATTTATTCTGCCTGCTGCTCTGCTGCTCTGCACCTTCTGTTTGTCTTGCTTGGACTGTTTCACCTTTGTGATGCTCCTGTGCTGTGCCACTCTGCTGACTATGAACTGAAATCATTACAAACTATAAGCAACAATAACCTTTCCTCCTTTAACTTTGGATGTTGGGTATTTTGTCCCAGCAACAGGCGAAGTAACTAAGACACATAGTGTACTATAATATAATAGATTAATCATTTTCTGGGCTATCTACCTCTAACACCAGTAAATAAAACCATTCTAATGGCAATCAAGGACACCAAAACAGGTATTATTATTTAAAGTAGCATTCAATATGCTATACTATCTCTTCATACATCACTGGCTCTCCTTAGCCAATCCTGTAATCTGAGGTCAATTTTTTTCTTTATAGAGAACTCACCCTAGATCCAGCTACTCTGTAACTCTTTATAACGATTATCTCCTGAGACAAAGGAACAGAATCCAACTTTTACAATGTTTTTCCTTTTGCTACTCAAGATTTAATTATTGTACTCTCCATCTACATGATATATTATAACTCACAGAGATCAGAAAGAGAAACAACCAGGCTTGAGGTCCTCTTTTAATAATTATATATTGGACTGTGAAGATACAAATAAATAACCCAAAAATTGTAAATGAGACCAAAGGAATTGTTCTTTTTAAGAGAAGAAAAATTTACTTTTCAATATGCACTAAGTGAACAACTCCACAGCTACAGTCAAGAAGAAAGGCCTGGTGAAATAAAGATGTATTAGGATTCTACATGCCCAGCAGCCATGTGGCTTAGAGTCTCAAAAAGTTCTCTTGGGAAGAAATGGTATCTAAATGGACTGTAAAACTTTGCCACATAAAAGCGGTCACAGAAATCAGAGAATTGCATGAAGTACACGAGCTACCCCAGTACGGCATACAAACTAGGACAGACCAGCACACGTCTTCAAAGTCACAAGGACACATGATAAAACACGAGCCTTCTGTCACTGAGGATCTCTGCTCACAGCATTGACTCCCATTAATGGAAAAATTATGTAAGAGGAGAGTGCTATTCAGGGAAGTAATTACATGCCAACTATCTTCTACATATATCTGTATTCCAAAATTTTACAGATAATTTTAATAGAAGAAAGGAAAAAAATACTTACAAATGCTCCCTTCATCTCATTAAAGACCACTCCTTTAAAGGTCAAGGGTGTTTGAGGGTCACTTGGATTCACATGTTCTAGTCGCCATCCTTCCTGCCTAAATAATGATGAATAAATAAATACACAAAAGATAACAGTGATTCTAATACTAAGGTCGAAATCAATTAATCATTACATACCAGAAATCTAGTTCCCGCAAGCATGGAAAAAAGGTTGCATCCAAATATACTGAGAGCAGATTCTGAAAATCCTTGGCATTTTGTGTGGAAAATGGATACAGGGTATAATCACTAGCTGGGTACAAAGGAAAAGGAAGACTTTTTAAAATACAAGAGATTTTTACAAAAATGCACATTCAAGGCTCACTTCCCCATACTGTTTTAACCTTATGTCAAGCAAAAAGCACAACCCCAAGCTCTGGCTCCACACTTATCTCCCTGAGCCTCAGCATCCCCAAACACAACTTGAAGTCTTCCCTTAACAAGCACTAACACTACTTCATCAGCGAATTCTAATACAGTCCTTTAGAGAGATTTTCACACACCTGGAAAGATAATCTCATTCTGTATGAACTCTGATTTAAACTACCCCTAACTGCATTCCTTTATAGAATGTGTTCATCATCAGCCCAGGCACCATTCTCAGAGGTAGTAGAGGTCAATCCAGATACCAACTGTAATCACCATAATGCTACAGTCACCTAATGTGGCAACAACATTCCCCAGGAAAAAGTGATCTGGACATAGACAGAAAGAACTCACATACCTTTTTCCTCAAACTCCAGTTTTTATAATCTGATCACAATGTGGCCTGCCCTGAAGGATTAAATTTCCAACATCTTTCAACCATAATAGAGGTTGGTGATTTATTCCAGTACATTGATCGGATTATCAACTACCCTCTTTTTTCTTAGAAAATAACTGAATTCGGTGTGTCTGGAAAACCTGAAAGTGATTGCAATTCAGGATGTGAGTCTTACCTGTAAAGGCATTCATAAAAGTGGATAATGACCTGTTTAACATTTTGAAGAAAGGATCTCTACATGGGTATTTCTGAGAACCACAAAGGACCGTATGCTCAAGAACATGTGGAACTCCAGTACTATCCATTGGAGTAGTGCGGAACTGCACACTAAGACAAAGAAAAAGAAATAAATTCAGTGGGGAAAGTTACCTTGAGTACTGTCCGACAGAATTTCTAAATATGTGATTACCTGGGATTAAAAATAAGCATAATAATCATCTTGGCATCACAATCTTTAAGTGAAATGTTTTCTAACTATCATGTATGAAATCACAGATTCAAACTATAAAATTGTAACATATTTAGATTAGGATATGAAATCATGTACTCTTTTACCTTTTTAGGATACCCTGAAAATAAAAATAAAATGTTAAGATATTACTTCAGACTACCAAATGTAGATAGATGTTTTAAACAGAAACATCCAAGAATCTGTTTTCACTCTGCAGCACATACCTGAACAAATTATTTGGGTCTTCCCTTGCCAGGTGTAAGTATCTGGCTCCTGTGTTGTCATGGCTGAGCTTCACTGCAGTTAGTAACAGTTCAGGGACAGATGTTACCTGAGGGAAGAGGACCAATTACCTTCAATACACTGATACAACTGACTTTTCTGCCTTAAGTTAAATGACACCAGGAAGCCAGCATTTCAGAACTGGAAGGAATCAAGCATCTTGTCCATATTCCTGACTTTATAAGTGAGGGTATTAAGAATTTTTAAAAAGGCTGATGCAGCCATAAAGAAGGATAAACTAGAGACTTTTACAGGTGAATGGATATACTTTGAGAACATACTCCTTAGTGAGATAAGACACACATGCAAATATAGTACTGCTTCATTAGTGTGAGAAGCTAAAAGAAAAACATATTTGTGTGTGTGTATATATATATATATATAGATAGATAGATAGATAGATAAAATAGTTAAGATAGTTACACTAGTGATTTCTCTGAGTTTACTGAAGAGAAAGATTTGTGCTAGTACTATTCAGACAATTGAATGCAGAAGTCTTGTGCTCCAGGTGAATGATTTGAAGATGACACTGTGCAATGTATGTACCATTGCTGCCCCTGATTGATGTGTTTTGAAATTTTGTTGTAGTTTTTTTTGGTTGTTTTTTTATTTTTATTTATTTTGGGGGGGGGTACAAAGGATCAAACTCTGAATCTCCTGTGTATCAGGCAGGGTTTTTGTTTTTAACCTTAAAATAAAATGGACTTGGGGGGGAAAAAAAGCCAGGGATTTAGTTCAGTAGCGTAAGTGCCTGCCTTGCAAGTGCAAGGTCATGAGTTTGATCCCCCATATCAAAAAGTTTTTTTTTTTTAATTTAAAAAAGCTAATGAAATGATACTTTTTTAAAAATTACTACTTGCTAGCTATTTTCTAAATACATTAAAATAAAATATAGGAGGGACATATTTTCATCCTTATTTACAGATTTAAAAGAACCTAAGTACAGCTGGGCACGGTGGCACATACCTGTAATTCCATACTAGGAGGCAAAAGGACTGTGAATGTGAGGCAAGTCTGAGCCACATAGTGCATTCAAGGCCAACCTGAACTACAAAGTGAGATCCTATCTCAAAAAACAAAAAATAAACCGGGTGTGGTGGTGCACAGCCGTAATCCCAGCACTCTGGAGGCTGAGGCAGGAGGATCACTGCCAGTTCAGGACCAGCCTGGGTTATAAAGTGAGCTCAAGGCCAGCCTGAACTGTATAGTGAGACCCTGTCTCAAACAGACAAGACCAAAAAAAAAAAGTTCAGAATGATGAAATAAAACAGGGCCAGAACTCTCCTGGTATCCATGTCCTTTTCATTATACTATGTCATGCTTAAATACCTTAGCCTGGTATGGTGGCATACATCTGTAATCCCAGCACTCAGGAGGCTGAAGCAGGAGGATCACTGTAAATTCGAGACCAGCCTAGGCAACAGAATGAACTCAAGGCGAGCCTAAACTACATAGTGAGAGTGTCTCAAAAAGGCTGTCTCAAAAAGACAATAAATAAATACATACATACATACAAATGTGGTACCCTTTGCTCATCTGCTATGTCTCTGGCTTTTACCCATACTATTCAATTTTTAGAATAATTATATAAATGCAGAAATGGACCCTCATTTGCAGGAGAAGGATGCTCCTAGAAATAAATTTTCCTTTATCTAGTTGAAAATGGGTTCTCAACGGTAAGCTGAGTACCAGTTACTTGTGCCTAGCAGAAGGATCACTACAAACATAGCAAGGTCCTTCATAATACCAGGAAGGCTAAGAAGGGTTTAAACATCCTAATAAATCAATGAATCTTCATTCCCTGAAGAAGGCAGCAGAAAAGGAGACAATCTTTTATATTCTACTTAGGCTTCCCATATTAAATGTCCATAGTCCTTCATATTAAGAAAGTGTTCTGATTTCTTATCAGTTGCCTGTCTTTCTTTCAATCACCTACTACCACTGTTACAATCACACCATTTATCATCCCTTTTCCATGGGCCATGAAAGTAACCTATTCATTTTTTCACTGGAAGTTACTGGCATATCAATGATTAGAACTCGAGTCTCATGATCCCAAATCAAAGGTCTTGCCACACAGAAGGCACACATAATGTGGATTGTTAATACCTTTATAATTTAGAGATGATAAAGTATTTGTATTTCGAAGTTTATAATACTTTACGTAAATGATCAATTTACTTAAAATCAGTAGATACAGTGAGATGCCTGCCTATTGAAAGCGTAAGTAAGACTCATGGTTTACCACAAGTTTTTTAAAATTTAAAAAACAAAGGAGCACTCTGGGAGGCAGGGCAACTTAGCAAGACCCTGACTCAAATGATACAAAATAAAAAAGGGCTGGGGATGTAATTCACTAGGAAGGGCCTGGATTCAAATCCCAGTACCACCAATAAATGAAGGATGGACAGATGAGTGAATGAATGAAAAGAATTTACCATTCTTAATAAGGTCCTTATTAGCAGTAACTTGTACTTTACATTCAAACTTCTTTACATGGCTTTCAAGGCACATTACAAACACTCTGACCCCATCATCATGACTCATTGTTCCTGGACCTTGCCTAACATGCCCTGCGTCACTGGCCTTACTCATGTCCTGCCTAGAGACGGATGGCCTTTGCCACAAGCTCTTCCCTCTACCAGAAACATTACTGTCTCCTTCTCCCTACCCTTTGCCCATGGTACTTCTGCATTGTGTCCTGCATGCCACACCTTGTGTTACAGCTATGTCTGAGGCTTTCTACATTATAAGCTATTTGTCCTTCTATTTGTTACAGCATTAAACATAGCACAAGGCCAAAAACCAAGTAAGTGAAGCACAAACTCCTCGATTGTTACATTTAGTTAAAAAGAAATACAAAAGATTTAAGCAAAAAAAATTTTTTAACAAGTAAAATCTCTTTTAACACTAAGTAAATTTTTGTCCACAATCATTTACAATTCTGAAACCCAGCCAAGCGTGATGGCGCACACCTATAATCCCAGCACTCGAGAGGCTGGGGCAAGAGGAGTCTTACAAGTTTGAGACCAGCTTGTGCTACAAAGTGAACCAAGGTCAGACTGAACTACACAGCAAGACCCTGTCTCAAAAAGATAAAAAATAAACAAATAATAAAATAAAATAAAATTCTGAGGCCCAAATGGCCCAGAGAACAAAATTTCTAGAGTAAATTATTTGATAATAAAACCTGACTGACAGATGTAGGAAACTGAGTCTTTTGTGATCACATTTGGAACAAAACAGCAGGTCTGGCCACATAAACAGTGGCACTGATTCCAAGACCCTGTTAGAGTGTTACTATGCAAAACTGGAAAGGATATCAGACTTTAGAGATACAATTAAGGACTAGGGATTATTTCATCTGCAGATGTTGTTCAGCTGAGCCCTACCAGGAGTCAGGAACTATGCAGGGCCCAGGGACACAAGGATAATAACTAAAGTCTCCTAAGGACTTCATATGCCAGCAGAAGCCACATGAGTTATCTACCTCAAGTTACCAGAGCAAACCAGACAAACGCATACCTGTTCTACGGTGAATCCGTGGATCTTTTCTCCCACTTTATACTGTAGAGCTTTCTCACAAGCTTTGCTACTGCTCCATCTCCATACTTTGTGGCGTGCATTGCTGTGTTTAGGAAAAGTCATTAAAGTTAGATGATTTTCAGGACAACTGTTTGGTAAACATATTTCACAACAGAATGAAAATACTATCATGTAAGACAGATAATTAAAAAAAAATTAAATCTTGCATTTTCCAAAATCTTGGACATTCCAGAGAACTAATTTCATATAAAACCCTTTCCATTTTAAACTTTTATCTCCATACAGATGAACCTTCATAATACTTAAATGTCAAATACTCTTTATTACTATAATTCACAAATAACTATAGTACGAGTATGTACAAATGTGCCTCCATTGTATAAAAATAACTGTGTCAAAATAACTTTCTCGGGGCTGGGGACTTAGCTCAGCGGCATATGTGCCTTGCCTTGCAAGCGCATGGTCGTGAGTTCGATCCCTGGTACTGATAAAAAAAAAAAATTGCGTTTTCCTATCACAGAATCGTCGCAGATACTCACAGTAAAGCAATAAACTTAATCTACAATAAAATTTTATTATATACTAAGTTGTTGAAAATTAAAAAGCCTAATATTGCCAGGAATTCTCATACTAGGCAAGCACTCTACCAGTGAGCTACATTCCCAGTCCAACCAAGAATTCTTATACACTGTTACTAGGAGTGCATACTGGAATAATTTTGAGAAAAAAATTCAGCATAAGTATATTTAGAAAAGTTAAAGATTAGCAAAGTCCTTCACCACCATACATCTAGATAAATAGATACATATAGGAAAGTTTGTGCTTGTCCCCCAGCACAGAACTACAAGAATATTGGCACTAATCTCAATAGTCCCAAACTCAACCAACCTCCGTAGCCATCAACAGAGAAGACACTCAGTTTTTAAGGACGTCATCAAATAATACTGAACAACAACAAAAACACACAGTTTTTTTTTTTTTAATTAACATGGCATTATTCTTTCCAGGTACTATTCAAACTGTGACACTATGTTGCAGAAATGTGCACAGATGCTAAAAACATAAAGAAAAGACAACTTAATAATTTTTTTAAGTGAGGAGAATGATTACCTATATTCAGTTAGTATAACCTTAATCCTAGAATGGTGAGACAGGCTGGTTTTTTGACAGGATCCTGCCAAATCACTAAACTGACCAGAGAGGGCTGCAACTTGCAGTTCTCCTGCCTCAGCCTGAGAGGATAGATATGCGCCACCTCACTCTCTCAGACACTGTTTATTTTACTTAATCACTCTCTCAGACTACATTCTGTGTTTCATGAGATTTCTACATTAACATTGTATCTCAGAAATATTTACTTTAAAGGTTATAGGTCCAGAATAAGAAAACAATGAACTCGGTCACTGCAACATGAGATTGCTAAAATCAACCATCATTTCTTTATTCATTTAGCACACCATGAGCTAGAGGACTTTAAGAAATTATTAAGAGCACAAACAATGTGAAAACTCAGGCAGCAAAAGGGCTTCCCCTCTTACGCTTTCTGGTAATCTGTTACACACAGAATAAAGTTCGCATCCTCAATTCTAACACTCTAGAGCCTCTGAGGAAGTGACTTGACACTCCCATTTACTCTAACAGCAGCTAACCTGCGCTTAAGGTGAAAATGCAAGTTTGTGGATTCGCAAGAAAACGAAACACTTATTATCTCCATGCTTCCATAAACCGAGTCTTTAAAAGGGAGGGGGGTGGGCAATTTCTGCAGGCTAAAATTTATTAAGAACACAGCCACTTAAAGTATAGCCTGTAGAAGCCTCAGATCTCTATAAAGAACTCTGCCTTGTAACACAAATGAAATGGGAGTGAATCTGTAATGAGAACCATAAACTCCCTGTTACTTTTATTACACATGTTACAATCCACATCAATGACCACCTTCACTACAAAAAGCCCTGACAATCTACACACAGGGCCACCCACTGTGGGGTCACCTGAGGTGGGAGAAGAGAAAGTGGGTCAGGCCAAGTTCTTGGTCCATACCTCCTCCTCAAGACCACAGACTATCACCTCAACCCTGGTAACTTAAACTGGTATTGCTCAGGGGGAGGGTTTTGCCACCCGTATGAGCTTCTGAAAGGACCCCTCGGGGGACCTTGCCGGAGTCCTCGGCCTGAGTTTAGGGTATCCAGGCTTGGGACACCCAGAGGATTTCAGGATGTCAAAACTCCAAAAGACATTCTAGGCGCCCAGATATGGAATGCGCGGTGTGCGAGCCTCCAGAGCAGGGGCAGTCACGCCAGGCCCAAGGACAGGAGAGACCCCAGTGTCTGCTTCCCGCTTCCTGCCGCCCCCTCCCCATTCCCAGCATCCCCTACTCCCAGCGTCCCCGTAGCCCCTGGGAGTGGGGAGTGTCTCACCCGCCGCCCAGCCGCTGCACTACGCCTAGCGCTCGCCGTCCACCACAGCGCCACATGGCTTGTCAATACCCCGACCCGCGGAGACAACATTTAACCCTACGCACGCGCGGGGCGGAGCGAGACGGCCGAGACTTCCATTGGTCAACGTGAACGGCTGGGACTCTCCGATAGGCTGTCGAGAAAAGGGGCGCATCCCACTGCTTGTAGCAAGCCCGGAGGGCGAATCCTGACGCTCGGCTGTAAATCACAAAGGGGTGCGGGGGCGAGGAAATGCTGGGGCTAGAGGGCGCAGGGGCCCGACACTGGGGGCTGAGTAAGGATGAGTGCCGGTTGGGGGGCAAAAAATAGGCAAGGAGTAAAAAAAAAAAAAAAAAAAAAATAGGCAAGGAGTGCAAAGCAGGGCGGGGCGGGACCGGCTGGCGTGGTGGGGGAGTGGTGCTAGAGCCTTTGCAAATGGGAAAGGAACCAAGACTTGGAAGAAGCGGGGAAGGAGGGAAAGAGTAGGGAACGAAAAAAAAAAAAAAAAAGAACAAGTATGTACAAGTACCAACTCCCCATAATAAGGTAATCATTATGTATTGCTAACATGTACTAATAAAAAATGAAAAATAAAATAAATTTTTAAAAAGGAGTTTGAGCAATTTAGGAACAGTGTAGAATAAGTCAGGTGAACCTCTAGCTCCTCGTTTATTCTGAGACCTGTAAACCTCTCTGCGGGCTTACAGTCCGCCCATGACAAGGGTGAGCGTGAAAGATGTCCAGGTGGATCCCTGTAAGTGTCCTAGTTCGGGGCTGGGTGGTTTCAAGACAGTGGGGCTGGTTCCCAGTGCCGCAAATACATATGTTAACTATATTTGGATGGTCTTGTCCCCTCGCAGAATTTCCCTCGCAGAATTTAGAGCTCCTGTGCACACTGCTTTTCTCTCTAACGTTTCGTGTGCCTCTCTACATTTCGTATCCAGGAAGACTCACCTGGGTGTGCTAAGATTGACGAAGAACCCACAGATTCTTGGAGACACAAGAAGAGATGCAAAGAGCTTCACGTACAAGCAGGGTGCACCAAGCTGCTGAGGAATAAAAGGGACAGTTGGGATTAACCACGGCTGTAGAATGTTTGGGTGGAACTTGAAAAAGGTGAGTACCTTAGTCTGATCTCAGTTTCTTAGAATTTTGCCCCATCCTTACACTATTCTGCTTCTTCCCTTAAGCCCACTAAAGCAAACTTTCATCTACGTTTTTTCCAGGTTCTTAAGAAACGCTAAGTAGATGGCTGCAGTCAAACATGGAAAAGTTTTGACTGTAATGCAGACAGCAATCTCCTAGAAAAAGTCACAAAAGGTCTACGAAACACCTTCCACACTGTAGCCGATTCTGCAGTTGACCAAGTATGTTGATGAACTCAAATGAACCAGAACATAGGTAATAAGCTACACATACAAACACAGTGGTGTGTACCTTTCTTCTGATATATTTAATGAACCATCACATCACTGTGATCTTAGGAGAGATAGTTGGGTATTATTAACCCTGTGTGAGTATGCAATAAACTGAGGCATTGAAAGCTTATAGTATTTTGCTCTCTGAGGAACAGAATGTAAGTGCAGTAATTACCACTTAACTAGTATGTTCCCACAGGACACAACTTCACTGATGAATAACCTAGATACACACACAAGCACTTATAGTTACCTTGAGAATATTTGACCCAATTTTAAAACATATATAATCTAAATTAATATTAACATAAATAATTATTATGTAGAAATGAAAAAAATCAGAAATTATCAGTATAATCTTCTAAGTTACAAAACCAGATCCTACAATGAGAAGTCATTGTTTTAATAAAATTAACAGTAGTGGGTTTTTTTAACAGAACAGATTATTTTTTGAGTTCTAATTTTTTGAATTCTTTATATATTCTAGATATTAGTCCTCTGAGGAACAGACAGCAAAAATTTTCTCCCATTCTGATTATCTTAATTCTTTTTTTCCCATTGGATTTTAATATAGTACATAGTGAGAGACATGGGTCAAAACTGAATCTTCTGCATGTGGATAGTCAGTTTTCCCAATACCATTTATTAAAGTTACTATCATTCCTCTAGTGCATGTTTTTGGCTCCTTTGATAAAGCTCACATAGTTGAATGTGCTTAGGGTTATTTCAAGATCTATTTAAAACATGATCTTGCCAAGTTGTCCAGCTGGGCTCAGTCTTGTGATTCTCCTACATCAGCCTGCAGAGTTCTGGGATTTCAGGCATTTGCCACCATGCCTACCTCTCAAGTCTTCTTACATAGGTTCTAATCATCACCTGAAAATCCACACCTCTTTGTAGTATTGCATTGGGGATTAAGACTCAACATTAATTTTAGTGAAGATACCATCATTCAAAGGATGACAATGCATGAACCAAAGCTCTCATCATAAATTACATTGTTAAGCAGTTTTATCAAAGACCCTCTAGTCAGATAGGTCAATTCAACGACTTAGAGATGACCTTTCACAACCAAGGACAAAGGTTTGGGTAAGACTGGTTCTTTATTACACAAAATTTCAAGTTTTAACATAGAAATATTTTTGAACTTCAAAACCATTTATATTGAACAATAAACTATCCTGTTATTACTCAGGGTAAAAAGACCAAATAACTGAATACTGCCTCACAAAGCTTATTTCTGCATTTATATGAAGTCTACAAGATGAATTTCCTTCAGTTGTTGCACATACTAGACAAAGCAAACATTGTGTCTGATAAATTTTTTTTGTCTTTTTGAGACAAGGTCTCTTTGTGCACTTCAGGCTGGCCTTGAGCTCAGTTTGTAGCCCAGGCTGGTCTTAAACTCGAAATGATCCTTCTGCCTCAGCCTTCTGAGTGCTGGGATTACAGGTGTGTGCCACCACACCCAATTTGTATCTGGTTAATTTACAACCATCCCCAGAATAAATCCACTATCACAGTACCTGCTACTGTTGCCATCCTTATTCAGTAACAATGTGTGATGCAGGACCAGATCCTATGGCTCAGACTGATTCACAAATAGGCCAGAGTCACTAACTGTCTGCTAACAACAGAGGTCTACAAGATGGATTTCCGTCAGTTGAGGTCCATGACATGACTGATTGCCACAAGCTCTGCCCGAATGCTCTTACTCAATACTTACTAGCTTAGACTATGAAATTCCTGCTCCATTAATTTGTATTGGAGATCAAAGAAAGCCTAAGCATATGAAATGAGAACATGTGTACCAGAAGATAACTGAAGTCTATGCCAGGGATATAGCTCAGCAGCATAGCACCTGCTTGGCAAGCACAAGGTTGTAAGTTTGATCCCCAGTGCCAAAAAAGAAAAAAAAATCAAATCTCCAAAGAGATAAGGAAGAAAACTGAATTATCGGTAGCTGAATTCTATTCACAGTGGAGCCCTATGATCCCTCTTTACAACTGCTTTGGACGCACAATATATTCCACTCCTATAAAGGTGTTCCTGAGGTTCAATCCTTTTGTCACCTCACACACGTTGATGACAGATCCCTGGTCACAGGATGTGGCTGAGTGGCTGCATTTACATGAGCAGGCTGATCTGTCAAAGGTCCATGCTGATAAGTAGAGGTATATAGTATTTAGAGCATCCTCATTTTGAATCAGATATTGAAGAATTTTTAAAACAAAGGCAATTAAAATCATCTACACTTTCTACTATGAAATCTTTATATCCTTTTATAATAAAGTTTTCAGAAATCTAGCTGGTCAAGGTGTGCACCCCTATAATCCAGTTCCCTGGGAGGCTAGAGCAGGAAGAAATCAAATTCAAGCCCAGCCTGGGCAGCTTATCAACTTAATAAGATCCTATCTCAAAATAAAAATGTAAAGAGCTGGGGATGTAATTCAGCATGAAGGCACTGGATTCCCTTTGTCAAAGATCAAATAGAGGAATATGTCTGGGAACGTTTCTGTATTCTCTATTCTGTCCCATTGATCTATGTGTCTGTTTTTGTTTCAGTACCCATGCTGTTTTTATCACTATTGCTTTATAGTATAGTTTGAAATCAGATATTGTGATGCCTCCTACTTTGCTCTAAATGGCCAAAATTGTTTTTGCTATTCTGGGTCTTTTCTGGCTCTGTATATTTTCTCCAGATCTATAAAGTATGCTGTTGGTATTTTGATTGGGACTGCATTGAATCTGTATAACAGTTTGAGGAATATGGCCATTTTAACAATATTGGTTCTGCCTATCCAGGAGCATGAGACATCTTTCCATTTTTCTGATGTCCTCTTCAATCTCCTTCAGTGTAATGTCATTTATTTTGTAGAGGTCTTTCACTTCCTTAGTTAGATTAATTCCTGGGTATTTCATTTTTCTTGAAGCTACTGTGAATGGCACTGTTTTCATAATTTCCTTCTCAACCCATTCATTGTTGGTGTACACAAATGCTAATGGTTTTTGTGAGTCGATCTTGTATTCTGCTACTTTGCTCAAGTTTTTATTAATTCTAAGAGTTTTTTGCTGTTTTCTAGAGTCTTCCATTTAGTATATTACGAGATCTAAAAATAATGTTAATTTGAGTTTTTTCTTTCCTATATGTATCGCTTTTAATTTTGTCTCTTGCCTAATTGCTCTGGCTAATGTTTTAAGTACTATATTGAATAGAAGTAGTGAAGGTGAACATCCCTGTCTTGTTCTAGATTTTAGGGGAAATGCCTTTAGTTTTTCCCCAGTTAGTATAATGCTGGCTATTTGTTTGTCATAAGTAGCTATTATTTTATTCTTGCTAAATAACCATCTATACAAAAATCTAATACAGTCTAACACTGATAAACCAATATGCAGAAATAGTTTATTAAAGAAGGAAAACCAGCCTCTTCATGCACCATAAATTCCACTTAGTCTTTTTTTTAAAGACTACAACAAATGGCAACTGTTTTATCTGAGACTTCTCAAATAAACTATTTTTCTCTCAGATTTTGGCAAGTTTGTTGCAGATGTTAGTTAAATGTCAACAAAGCAATATCAAATGAAGCCATAGACATAATTCCAATCCTAAATTATAGTTGGAAGGACATGTACCTATTCCCTAGGATCATCATGTATTACAAACACATACCAGAAAAAGAAACAAACAAACAAACTCATGCACTTTAATAGACATTGAGCTGGTGATTCATCTCTATGCCCTCTGTTGCTGAGCGTGTGAACTTTGATAAGTTCACATGACTTTTCTGGGTTTCACTGCCTTTTCTGAAAAATAAAGATATTCTGTTTTAACATTTTGCTTTTTGTTGGGGGGGGGGTGCAGGTTTCAGTGTGTAGCTCAGGCTGGCCTTGAACTCACAGTGATCCTCCTTCAGCCTCCCAAGTGCTAGGATTACAGGGGTGCACCATCATACCCCGTCATTCTGCTATTCTGTGAAGTACTTATACAGTAATGAATAAACCACAACTTACAAGCATCACTTCTTATCTTTGAAACGTGTAAGTCCCCCATCCCTGCTGTCTTCTCACCTTGTACCCACACTGCTACAGCCTCTCCTTTAGCAGTTTAAACCTGGCTTAACATCACGTACAGTAAAGACTGTGCCTGAGAAATGACCTTGATGCATAGACTACAGTTTCTATGGTAGAATTTATATTTCATATACTTACATTTGTAAAATTTTTAGTTCTTTTTTATACTGGGAATTGAACTCAGGACCTTGTGCTTGCTAGGCAGGCAGTGTACCATGGAGCCATATCCCCCGCTTGTATGATTTTTAAGTCCTGGCAGTGATAACTTTGTTCCACTAAACCAGTGATGGTGAACCTATAGCACATTTTAACTGTTTTTTTTTAAGACAAAACATATTAATGTATACGTTGTTTTTCTAAACTAAACTCTCAGTGTTCAGGCTTAATTATAATGTTGTCATTTTGTGATAATTAAGTGAATTTTGGGTTGTAGTTTGGGCACTCATCTCTAAAAGGTTTGCCATTCCTGCCCTAAATTATACCTTCCTTCCAATCCAAGACAACTATACTTTTGATTAACATCTCACATGTTTATACCATCCTAAAACATATATATTTCTTATTTTACTTATAAAATGATATCCTATAGGAAGTTAATTTTTGGAACTTGTTCTTTCCACTTAATATATATAACTAAGCTGTATTTGTATTCACATGATTGGATGTCAAAGAAGTTATGGTGTTATTGGGTCCTATCAGCTTTGGCTAGTTGGCCATGAGTAGGATTTAGTCTAACACAGGAATAATGAAAGGAAGAAAAATAACTTCTGTATAATTATCTCATCAATTAATTTCTAGATTGATTTTACCTTTTTTATAAAGGAACAAATAATTTATTTTTTAGTAATTTTATTTTTTTTACCTTGCTGACAAAATAAAATAATTTTCTCCCAAATAGAATTATATTCCCACATCTTTTATTTATTTATTTATTTATTTTGGTACCAGGGATTGAACTCACAACCTTGAGCTTGCCAGGCAGGCGCTAATACCACTAAGCTAAGTCCCCAGCCCTAGATCTTTTATTTTTGACAAAAATATTACAACATATAGCTCTTA